TGCACAGTGGCACAAAAAAAAAAATCAGACAAGCACTATTTTATATTTAAAAATTGTTTCTTGACAAGCTGACTTGGCACTTAAGTGCACTTTTTTTATGAAGAAAAAGTACAATGAACTGCTTTTCCTCAAGCAATAATTGTTTCCAACTTGTCTGGGAATTGTGTGTCTGGTAACTTGAAGGCCTTCCACTGTGGCAAATGGAGGCTTTTCACTGCCTGTAGAGACAATACAGTAAGCATAGTTACTCGGTGGGCCAGAACATGTTAAGATAACTTACTGTATATGTATTCCCTTGTATTTTGTTAAAGCTGGAACATTTGATATTTTTCCATTTATTTATGAAAAAATATGAACCTATTTTCATTTGTACGAGCTAATTGTTTTTTAAAGCAAGTCACCTTAGGGTGGCTTTAATTGTATAAGTCAAGCACATGTAATAAATTCAAAACCTGCAGTTAACAGGATATTAGACATCAATCCTGGTAACCAAATATTAAAGATTCTCTTTAAAAAAGACTGAACATGTTTACAGGTTTGAATTAGGCTAAAAGGTCTTGCAGTGGCTTTTCATGCCCCTTCAAATTGGAATGGAACTACTGTACTTTGCCATTTTTCTATAAATCAGTATTTTTTTTTAATTTTGATATAATACATTGTGTGAAAAAAGAAAATGGCTAATAAACTGTATTAAATCTTAAACAATGTATAAAGATTGTACTTAGCCAGTTCAAAGTGTATATTTATTCATAATGAATTATAACAGTTATATTTTTGTGTTTTCTTGTAAATGTTTCTTTTTCCTTAAATACAGATAATTCATTTGTATTGCTTATTTTATTATGAGCTACAAGAGGACTTCAGGAACAAGTAAACTGTATTAGTATGTTTCAAGGTTGTTGATATGAACTGTCTCAAAAGGATGGTTGTTATTTTAAGTATAAATAGCTAATCGGAGTGGTAGGCCTACAAAATTAAATGCCTTGTATAAAATCCAAAATGAACGCAAAATTGTTTTCACTTGTATTGACTTTATGTTGTATGATTCCAATCTCTGTTCTGTTTGGCACTTGTATTTAATTCTACACCTTTGTAAGACATTTGTATATTGCGGATGTGTTCATTCAAGCTATTTAATACCTGGCACTGTTAATACACAGTACTTTACTGTACAGACTGTTTTACCGTTTTAATTGTAGTTCTGTGTACTTTCTTTGGATGGGGCTGGCATGTTTTATTTGTTTTCTGGCAATACGACGTGAGAATTTCGAAGCGTTTTGTTGTAGATGCTAACGTGTCAGAATCCTTTACATTCAACTTTTCTAAGAAAAGCATTTTCAGTCTTGTAGTGTGTGCTTACAGTAACTAATTTTGTTGAAAATGGTTTCAAGTTATTCAAATTTGTACAGGACTGTAAAGATTTGTTGACAGCAAAACGTTGAAGAAAAAGCTTATAGAATAAAAGCTATAAAGTATATATTAGGATCTGCAAACAATGAAGAATTATGTAATATATTGTACAAATGTAAGCAGAGGCTCTGAAATAAAATGCCATAGTTTGTGAATCCTTGATTTTGTTTCTAAAAGATAAAGTAATTTTTTTAAAAAAGATTTTATTTATTCATGAGAGACACAGGCAGAGGGAGAAGCAGGCTCCATGCAGGGAGCCCGACGTGGGACTCAATCCCAGGTCTCCAGGATTAGGCCCCAGGCTGAAGGCAGCGCTAAACCACTGAGCCACCCAGGCTGCCCAAGATTAAGTAATTTTAGTTCATTTCTATATGTGATGACTGACTGGAACATACATCTATAGCCCGTATTATCAGAAAAGGGGTTCACTGACATGCCAAAAAGGGAAATATTATACCTATTAAAATTAAAAGTCCATTAACCAGACACAGGATTTATTAGGCATTTTTATATGTTTATATGCACTATAGACTATTTTGCTTGAGTCTGAATATGAATATTTATGACTTGGGAGGTTTGTCTAAAGAAGAAAAAATTTATTTCCTTTAACATGTGAAACCTGCACCAGCAGCTTTTTGCTTTTTCTGTCTTGTAATTTCATTCATTGGACTTTTACTTTTAGTGCACTCTGCCCCACTGCACATTGGAATCATCTGGACATTGTTAAAACAATAGTCCGTACTCCCATTGTGCCCATGGAGATGGTGGGGGGGGGCAGCTATTGCCCCCCAAAGAGTCGTACTTAATTGGTCTAGGATGGTGCTTGGATATTGATCTTTCTTTAAAGGTCTCCAGTGATTTAATATGCGTCTCAGTTGAGAACCACTGCTTTTCTCCACTTTTAAAAAATCGGTAATTAGGATTTTTGCCCCATTTAATGAACTTTCCATCAAGAGACAATCCTTTAAACAATTTTTAAGGCCTAAAAAGCTCAAATGTGTAGTTTTAAATTGACTTTGGGATGATCCTTTATTTTTACAGAAATTTGCTTAACTTCTAAGAGGTGAATTTTAAAATCTGAAAAACAGTGCTTCCCAAAATGAAGTCCTAGATAACCGATTCCTGGAAATGCTTTGGCAATTGTCAGATATATATGCCATATATAGCACTCTTTTTTCTGCAGAGATTCAGTGTTAGCATATTCAAAACTAAGGAGGCCTGTGAAGACACCTGGCTAACTTCCTTTACCCTTCTGTTATCAATCTTACCTGACCATGACACCTTGGTTTTCAAGGAACTACTGCTATCACCTACTTTGCATGTTACAGAAATAGTGCTCTAAAGGGGAACAATTCTAAACTTTGTTGGAGTCAACATTTACTATCTGGGGCCTCTCTGCCTTCCTGCCCATTCTGTCCTTCTTCCCAGCTTCTCTGGAGAGTTTGAGAATTTCATGGTTATTACCAGAATTTGACTTAACGTTTTCATCTGGGCACCTGAACTATATTTTATCAACCTAGTTACAGTGTATGGTAAAATTAGGATGTGGGTTTTTTTTCTCCAAAACTTTTTTTTTTCCCCCCTGCTGAAATAAGCTGAGAATGAGGTCTTATTAATATTCTTAACCTGGGGGAGACTGGGGAAGCTGAAGCAGCAAACATAAAGACCACTAACATTTTTTACAAAGTGTTTTTGTCTTCTTCTTTTTTTTTTTTTTTTCATGTAGGCTTGATTCCCAGTGTGGAGCCTGATACAGGGCTTGAACTCATGACTGTGAGATTAAGACCTGAGCTGAAATCAAGAGTTGGACACTTAACCAACCAAGCCACCCAAGCACCCCTTGACTGTGCTTTCCTATGAAAAGTGTCTTTATATTTTAAACTTTTCAAAGCGGTTAAGTGATCTCCAAAGGCTTAAAAACCAGTTCTGAACAGCAATGGGGATCGTTTAAGTCTCCAACCAGAGCCTCTTTCATCCTAATTATTTTCCTCTAGAAATGTGTGCTACCTTTCATTCTTTATGAGTCCATTTCTCCACCTTTCAATTTTCACCTACTATTTACGGATTTTTGGCTAACATCATAATGGGTTTTGTGTATATTAGATGTGATCTCCTGGAGGAATAGTGTCATGGTTTAGTTGTGGAAGTAATATATGTAAGACTTAAATATGTGCTAAACTATACTGTAAGGAAAAACCAGTGCATAAGAGTTTAAAGGGGTGGTGAATTAGTATACAGGACATGTGATGACAGATGTGATGGTGACACAGGAGATGCAAACCTTGAAGTAACATTTGAGGGAGATTCATCTAGAAATAGACCGTAGGCAACAGTGGAGAGGAAGAGTCGGGAAAGACCAGATGTGATGAAGTTGCAGTGCTACAGAGAGAAAATGATTCTTGGAAAAATGCTAGAGAGAGTAAGGAGGGAATGGGATTGGGAGACCTTCTGAAGGAAAAAATGAGTAGAATCTCTTCATTGGACTGTACAGGATAGATGGAGGGAGACACTTGAATTCCAAATTGGCACAGTTAGGTCTGTCTCATCTTTTGTGAAAGATCACAGTTACGGGAAACCTTTTAAAAGAGACTCAAAAACCAGGCCCAAGCAGATGAATATTATGAGGATTTTTTTTCATTAATTTTTCTGATGCGGTCTATGAAATATATTCTCCGTGACTTCTGTTAAGCAGCTTTCAGAAAGCAAGTCTGTTTTAAGAGAGTCAAAATTCAGTACGATATTACCATCAAAGTTCTGAATTCAATTATCTAACTATAATATTTACCTTTTACTACATAAAAATCAATTTACCAACATTCAATAGGTACAGCAGCAAATAGAGATGCAGAAATAGGATAAATAAGACACCCATTTAGACATCTAGAGAGAGTACATAACACTAACGCAGCTAGATGAAGGATTGGGGGAAAATCTTGTAAATAGCTGGGAAATTTTCTTATGTGAGATGTGTGAGCTGGGCCTTGACGTATGGGCACGATTTTGCAGGCGAAAATGACTAAAGAGGATAATTTTGGGTAAGGGAATAAAAAAGGCTGGAATGCATGGGGTTGGAGGGAGAGGAGTCAGCGAAGTTGGGCTGGGAAAACAGCAAGAGTGCCAAGGATCTGGTAGAAGAGCAAGGGAACAGCAGGTTCGGCCTGAGGCCTCCACCGCTTTAAATTTAATTTTGAAATTGTGTCGAATTTCAGAAAAGTTGCCAGAGCAATGCGAAAAATACCCACGTACGCTGCACACCGATTCACCAGTTGCTAATACTGTGTAACGGACGTCCCTGTAACCTTTCTTGATAATCTTGATAACCCTCCCTCCCTCCCTCCCTCCCTCCCTCCCCGTCAATGATTCAGGGGTTTTCGACCGTGTTTTCCCTCCGCTTGGGCCGATACCCCACGCCCAGTCTGGCAGAGTCTCGGTTACACTCCGAGCCCCAAGCACTCCTCTCTCGCTTCCGAACCTGAAGAGGTCCAACTGCTCCAGGAAGCCCAGCCCCGAGCGGCTGGAGGCCTCCCGCTCCCACGCAGCCCAGAGCGGAAGGGGCGTGGCTCCGGGAGCGGAAGTAGCCGAGAGCCGGAAGTGCGGGCGCGCGTGCGGGCGCGCGTGCGGGCTCGCGGGCCGGCTGGTGTGTCTGGAGCCGTGGGATGAGGATGCTGGTGGAAGGGAAGAACAAACGGAAGAAAAAGGGAGGTGCGGAGGAAGGGTGAGTGGCACGAGGCAAGTCTTCGGGAGCTCGGGCGGGCGAAGCGGTGGGACGTGGCATGGCTGACTCTGTGGCGTCCGTGTCCAGAGAACGCCCGGACGACGACGTTCGCGGGGCTCTGACCGGAGACTATGTGGTTGGACAAGTCGCCAGCAGCTTGGTCCAGGGCAGGCGTCCCTCCGGAGACCGCGCAGCCCGGCTGGCGTCCCTCTTCAGCTCTCTAGAGCCTCAGCTTCAGCCCGTGTACGTGCCTGTGCCTAAAGTAAGTCCCCGGTGCTATTCCGACGGGCCCGTTAGATAGGCTTCTAAAACACGCAGCCGGGGCCGCAGGGTGGCGCAGTGGTGGAGCGTCGGCCTTTTGCTCAGGTCGTGACCCCGGGGTCTTGGGATCGAGTCCCGCATCAGGCTCCCGGCGGGGAGCCTGCTTTTCCCTCTGCCTATGTCTCTGCCTCTCCCCGTGTATCTCTCAGGAAGAAACAAAATCTTTAAACAAACAACAACAACAAAAAAAAAAACCCGAGCAGTTTACCTCTCAGTGCGTGGTTTCCAGAGTGGGGCGGAGAGAATTTAAGCAACCTTTCACTACCGGACATCCAGTGGGACAGAAAAATTGCTAATTTAGAAAGTCTGTTAAATGATTTTAAAAGGTGAGATCTCAAACATAACTTATGACTTTTAAAAGGAAACCACCAAGAAAAGGAAACGGGATGAGGAGGAAGAAAGTACATCTCAAATTCAGAGACCACTTTTGCAAGAACCTTCAAAATCACTGAAAGCAAAGAAAAAACTTTCTGATGCAGACAAAAGGTTGGTAGAATTCTCTTAAGTTGATGTTGAAGAAATTAGATGGTAAAGAAATTGAGATTTTGCACCTGCAGTGTTCATCTTTTTTTCTCATTTTGTAGTTCTAATTTTCACACAAAAAAATTTATTACGGAAAATCTCACACGTATTCAGAAGTTGAAAAGGGTGAAGAGAAGAGAACCTCACATACCCAGTGTCAGTAGTGGCCAATACTTGGCCAGTCTTGTTTCATCCTGACCCCATTCATGACTCCCTCATTAAGTGGAAGCAAATCTAAGATCTGTAATCTAAATGTGTAAATAATTCAACATGAAGATGAGTTTTGTTTTCTTAAGTTTACTAAGTTGGAGATCAGATTTCTGCCATTAGCTTAAAAAGTTTTTCTTTACAGTTGATTTGATCAAGATCCAAATAGCAGTCACATCCAGGTTCCCAGGTACCTTTCCTCAGTGTGTGAAGCCACTCCTTTAAGCCCCTGAAGTCTCGTTTCTCTATCACTATTGATGATGTTACCTAGTCACAGCTGCTCATTGCTAACAGTTACTCACTACTACTCTTTGACCTCCTACTTAGTGTATTTATGCATATCCTTAATGTCTTTGCTTTTCCCTCAGAGAAAGATGTTTTCTTCCTTGTCCAAATTAAATCAGTCACCTCTGCTGTGTATACTACAGACCTCTTCTACCTCCTTCTGGATTATGTCCTCAAATATATCCATTTTCTTTTCTTTCCTGTATCTTTCCTCTGTCTGCTATACAAATGTGCTCAAGATTATCATCCTAAAAAGAGAAATTCAACAAAACCAAACCCTACCTATAGTCATGTTTCCGTTTGCTACCTTCCTTCCCTTCGTAGTCAAGCTTTCAGAAAAATGTGATACTTGTGTTCTCTTCTTTTCTTGATCTGTTTTCTCTTCCATGAACTTGTAGTCGGATTGTTTGCTTGTTGTGTTTCTTTTTCTGTGATCTGACCAAACTTCTGAAACAGTGCTCAGTGGAGCCATGCTGACCTAGTTGCCATATTTAATAGACAATAAAGCCTTTGTCTCGTGAGTCTTCTCTTGTATTTCTCATGGGTACTTTTATCTGCAGCTGTTAAGTAGCAATCTCTTCTGATTCTCCTCTTGTTTGTTTCTTCTCAGTGCTACTGTGGGTACCTTTTCTTCTGACTGCTCTGTAAATGTTGATTTTCCTCAGGATTCTGTGTTTGGTCACTGACTTTTTTCCTGCCATTCATTCTGAGCAACTTGATTTATGCCCACGGCTGCATTGTTCTGTTTTCTCTCCTGATCTCCTGAGCTGTGAATCTGTTTACCTGCTGACATCTGCATCTATATTTTCTGTATACAATTGACCTTTGAACAATAGAATGTTTAGGGGCATCAACCCCCACACAGTCAAAAATCCACATATAAGTTTGACTCCCCCAAAACTTAACTACTAATAGCCTCCTAATAGACCAGAAGCCTTACCGGTATCATAAACAGTACATAAAATACACGTTTATATATTTTATGTTATATATAGTTCTATTTTTTTTTATTTATAATCAATTCCCCAACATATAGTATGTCATTAGTTTCCGATGTAGTGTTCAGTAATTCATCAGTTGCATATAACATCCAGTGCTCAGAAATATAGGCAGAGGGAGAAGCAGACTCCATGCAGGGAACCCAAAGTGGGACTCGATTCCGGGTCTCCAGGATCACGCCCGGGGCTGAAGGCGGCACTAAACCGCTGAGCCACTCAGGCTGCCCTCCGTGTCCTCATCATCCAATTACCCCATTTCCCCTGGATCCCTTCCAGCAACCCTGTTTGTTTCCTGTAGTTAAGTCTTTCATGGTTTATCTCCTCCTCTGATGACTTCCCATTCAGTTTTTCCCTCCTTTCCTCTATGTTCCTCTGTGCTGTTTCTTATATTCCACATATAAGTGAAAACATATAATAATTGTCTTTCTCTGATTGATTTATTTCACTCAGCATAATACTCTCCAGTCTATCTACATCAATGTAAAAGGCAAGTATTCATCCTTTCTGATGGCTCGGTAATATTCTATTGTGTATATTTATATATCTCACATGTTCTTTATCCATTTATCTGTTGACGGACATCTGGGCTCTTTCCACAGTTTGGCTATTGTGGACATTGCTGCCATGAACATTAGGGTGCACGTGCCCCTTCAGATCACTACGGTTGTATCTTTGTGGTAAATACCCAGTAGTGCAATTGCTGGGTCATAGAGTAGCTCTATTTTTACTTCTTGAGGAACTTCCATCCTGTTTTCCAGAGTGGCTGAACCAGCTTACATTCCCACCACTAGTGGAAGAGGGTTCCCCTTTCCGCATCTGTGCCAACATTTGCTGTTTCCTGAGTTTAGCCATTCTGACTGGTGTGAAGTGGTATCTCATTGTGGTTTTGATTTGTATTTCCCTGATGCCAAGTGACAAGGAGCATTTTTTTTTTCATGTGTCTTTAGGCCATGTGTGGGTCTTCTTTGGAGAAATGTCTGTTCATGTCTTCTGCCCATTTCTTGACTGGATTATTTATTTTTTGGGTGTTGAGTTTGAGAAGTTCTTTACAGATCTTACATACTAGCCTTTATTTGATATGTCATTTGAAAATATCTTCTCATTCTGTAGGTTGCTTTTTTAGTATAGTGTTTATTCTTACAATAAAGTAAACTAGAGAAAAAAATGTTACTGAGAAAATCATCAGGAAGAGAAAATACATTTATAGTACTGTACTATATTTATTAGAAAACAGTTCACTTGTAAGTGGAGTTCATACATGTTGCTCAAGAGTCAACTGCACCTTAAGTTCAGAATGCTTCAGACTGAGCTGTTTATCTTCATCAAGCCTGTTCCTCTGCATGAGTGATACCACCAGCCTTCCAGTTGCCTGAGCCAACAACTTGGGAGTCATCTTACACTCTTTTTTTTTTCCCTGCACATCTAATCAGCTTCTGAGTCCTGATGATGCTGATCTCTTTGACCTTTTTCTGCCTTTCCATCCTTCTCTTTCTCTAGTTGGTCTGTTGTCTTTTTAGATAGTATGCTGTTACAACTATCTTCTTATTGATCTCCCTTTTCCACCCTTCACCTCTTCATAATTATCTTCTGCTCTGCTGCCCAAATGATCTTTTTTTAGGCAATCTCCAAAGTCCTCAGTGGCTCCTTAGACTCTATGGGATACTGTCTAAGCACATTTTCCTAACAGTCATGGTCCTTGACCTGGTTCCTACCTCACCATGTTGTCTTGGTTCCTTTCACTCCTGCTCAGTACTTTATATGCCATAGTGGACGAAAAACTAGACATGAACCCTCAGTGGAACTTATGCTCTAGTGGAAGAGTAATACTGGTCAAAATTTAGGAAAAAATAGTCACTTTGAGAATGCTGCTTTTTAAATTTACATATATTTATGAATCATAAGTTTATATTTAGGGAAGCAAAAGTAGGTAGGAGTTTTTTTGTGAGAGAGAGAGACCATGTGTATGAGGTTGTAGGGGGAGGGTCAGAGGGAGAGGGAAAGAGAGAATCTCAGACTCTACGGTAAGTACAAAGCACAGGTGGAAATATTTTCTAATCCTTGTACTTTGTCAAATACTACATCTGACTTCCAGGACTCATTTCTTCTTTTCTTTTTGCTCTTTATTTTCTTTTGCCTTGTAAAGGAAAAACACTCTAGCAAGTCGTGATTTAGAAGAAGAAATTCATCAAAAACAGGAACAGAAAAGGAATAATTCTCAATCTGGTATTAATGTAGCAGATAAAAAAGTACTTGATGTAGACCACATAGTTTTAAATCAAAGAAAGAAAATTGAAATCAACCAAGAAGAGGAGAGATTAAAGAATGAGAGAACTGTGTTTGTTGGGAATTTGCCTGTCACATGTAATAAGAAGGTAAGTGTATAATCTGCATGTTGTAAAGATTCAGTGTTAATAATTCATAGCTTAGTTTATTCTTCCTTCATTGAATAAGTGCATGATTAATAAGTTATTAACATACTGACTTCATTATAAATGACTAGACTAATTAGATTGATTCCAGTATACACCCATTCCTTTCCATTACCATAGTCAGTGCCCTAATACAAGCTTTTGCAAATCTTCTTGAAGTATTGCAGTGGCCTCCTATTAGGGTTTTCTTTTTTCTCCTAGCTATTTCTTTTACATGTTACTAGAACATAAACCTGAAATAGTGCCTAGTGCATAGTAAGAGGCTCAATGAATGTTTGTTTTATAAATGGATGCATACATCCTAAGTTTCTTCCATTGTGTGGAGTTGATTAAGTCCTACCTTTATAATTTATATCTGGTAAAGATTATAAAAGATTGAAAGACAAAAATGTGTACCTTATAGGTAGTAATAACTTGAGTTGTGTGTATGTATGATATATATATATACATCTATGTATGTATATATATATATATATATAACTTTCAGCCAAATTTTTTGTCTTTTATCTAGTCAATATTAGAATAGTCAATTATTCCTGAAATAGTCTTAAAATAAAACCTGGCAATAAAATATTATCAGTTTTACTTAATTCCTTTTTATAGCACTTATTTGATGTTCTAAAAGTAAACTGATAATACTTTTTTTCCTCTCTTTTTTTTAGAAGCTGAAATCATTTTTTAGAGAGTATGGACAAATAGATTCTGTACGATTTCGTTCTTTGGTATGTGTTCTCCCCAACTTGAAATTGCAAATCTTAAAATGTATTGCATTTAAGTCAGACTTACTAACATGTTGGTATTAGCGAGATGGAGAAGCACAACTTTTTTGAATCAACAGTTTCAAATCTAATTGAAGAGAAGAGATGCTCTTAGTATGTAGTGCTGGCACTTGGATTCTGTTCATATTTAATGAGTTCACATAGTAAAATGATACCATTGTTGGAGGGTGGATGTGTGACTTGTTTGCAGAACATTAAAACATGTTGAATAGCATTTCTAGAATCCTAGGCATTCAATACAGAAAGTTTGTGTGACTACTGCAAACAGTACTTAAATTCCGAGCGTAGGAAGCCAAAGTTTCTATTTAATTTTTTTTCCAAGATTGATTTTATTTATTAGAGCGGACATATACTCTATACATGAGCTTGGGGCTTGGGGGTGGGGACAGAGGGAGGGGGAGAGAGAATCCCAAGCCAACTTCCTGCTGAACACAGAGCCAGATGTAGGGCTTGAGGTCATGACCTGAGCCAGAATCAAGAGACAGACGCTTGGGCAGCCTGGGTGGGTCAGCGGTTTAGCACCGCCTTTGGCTTAGGGCGTGATCCTGGCGACCCAGGGTCGAGTCCTGCATTGGGCTCCCCGCATGGAGCCTGCTTCTCCCTCTGCCTGTTTCTCTGCCTCTCTGTCTCTCTGTTTCTCATGAATAAATAAATAATATCTTTTAAAAAAAAAAAAGTCAGATGCTTAACAGAGTGAGCCACTCGGTCACCCAGGCAGACAAATTTGATTTTTGTTTTTGTTTTGCAAATCAATTTAATATTAAACCTTTATAGAAGGAGATGATATCTGATTTCACCAACTGAACACTCTATAGACGAGTTATAGCCATGCTTCTTGGAGCATGAAATAGCATCATTCTTTTTATTCTCATTTATATTTTTTAAATGTAATTAATGCACATTAGAATAAAAGAAAAGTTTATTCCCTGTTTCTAACTGTTCTTCCTCATGTGACTCTCTAAAATGGGATTTCTCAGCCTTGATATATGGATGTTTGGTGCCAGATTATTCTTTGTTATTGGAGGCTGCCCTGTGCATTAGAGGATGTTTAGCAGCATCTTTGACCTCTACCCACTAGATTCTGGTAGCACCCTCCCCACCCAGGCTCTTACTACCCAAAGTTTCTCCAGTCATTGCCAAATGTCCCCAGAGGACAAAACTGCCCTCTTGTCTAAAAGTAGACAATTCTGGGTGGGGGGGAGGGGTACAGTCTGTTAGGTGTTCAACTCTCTGGGTTTTGCCTTCGTTGTGATCTCAGGGTCATGAGATCGAGCCCTGATTTGGACTTCTCGCTTGGACCAGAGTCTGCTTAAGACTCCTCTCCCTCTGCCACCACCCCCACACTTGGCGCATGTGTTCTTTCTCTTAAAAATAGACATTTCCCAAGGTTTTTGGCAGTCTCCATGATTCTGTCATGGTGTTTGTTTCTCTCTCTTTTCATATATATTTTGTCTGCCTTTTGGAGTCCCATCCTCCCTATCAGATCTGTCCCTGACACATCCACTTGGGTATCTTTGGCACCCGGGTTTCAGCATGTCTGTGTCCACCTCCACTCTCCCTGGCCCCATCCCGTGTTGCGTGCTGATGTTCTGTGTGAGTTAGTGCCACCAAGGCTTCCTTTTCATTGCCTTGGACTCGTTGCCCACTCAGCCTATTTTATTGTTGGTATCCCTGCCTATTTTTTAGCTGTGTTTTTTTTTTTTCCCCAAGAGTCCTTCCTTTCTTCCTGCGTTGTTCCACCTAACTCCTCATTACCTCTTGCCAGAATAGTTGCAGAGGCTTGTTATGGTTTCTACCCTCAGTCTACTTCTGTTCAGCATACCCACTGTGAACTTAGTTTTCCCAAAAATTCTTAGTGAAACTCGGGATTATTACACACACCACACACACACACACACCTTGGCCTGGTATTACTTTTGAGGAACCTGGCCAGATTCTTCCCTGTCCCTGGATTACTGGTCTGTTTGCTGACCCTGCTGTGCACTCTTTAGCACCCTATACTTCATCACGGTCCTTATGATACACTTCTGTAATTACTACATTGTTCGTGTGTCCCACCAGACTGAAAGCAGTGATTGCTGGTACTGTTTGTCTTGCTCATCCTTGGGTCACCAGTACCTGCACATTATACACATCAAACCTATATGGAATTGCCTAAACCTCTTACATTTTTCTTTCTGTGAGTGAAATCTGTCCTGGTTCATAGCCTGACACTTGTCATGTTGTGGCTCTGAGGCCATGTGTACTTCCACATGAGACTTTTCTGCAGCTCTGAAGCTTCCCTCAATGCTGACCATACACTTGGGTATTCTCACTCCTGTCCTTTTGCTCAGTTCATTTGTCTTGTTGGACATCCTTCTTGAAATCTCATTTTGTCTATTAAGATACTGTCTGTATTTTTGTAGACAATGAAAATGTGACTTATTCTGGGGTACCTGGGTGGCTCAGGCAGTTATAAATGTCCGATTCTTGATTTCAGCTCAGGTCATGATCTCAGGATTGTGAGATCAAGCTCTGCAATGGGCTCAGTGTGGAGTCCATTTGGGATTCTCTTTCCCTCTCCATCTGTTCCTCCCCCACTCCCGTGCTTGCATGCAGTGCAGTCTCTCTCAAATAAATGGATCTTTAAAAAAAATAATAAAATTTAAAAAAAAATGTTACTCGAGTTTTTTCTGATACTTTATACCATTAAGTGGTATTTTTTTTCCTCTAAATTGTTTTTGTACCTTATTGCCTTATGTTACACTTATTCATTTGTATCTTCAATAATAGGATCTAGATGGTTGCAGGCACCCAATAAATGTGTGTTGATGACTCTCATTCACCTATTGATAATTCACTTGGGCATTTCTCATGTCTTGCACTGTTATGTTGTATGTTAGCAGTTTGAACAGGACAAACTGAGAATTCCTTAGTTTTGCTATATTTTGGATGACAGAAAGATTTTCAGAGATTTATAATTACTGCCTTAAATTAAATTGACATTCATAGGTGTTCCTGATCTGTGAACTTGCAGGTCTATTTCTTTTCACCTTTGCCTTCTCAGTATCTTGACCATATTGGTATATCCCAACAGTCACAGTTGTTGATTTGAATTTCCATCTACTCCATAAAGTTGTCCCTCCCTTTGGGTAAATTGTCCCCATTTACTCTTAAATAGTACTAAAGGAATACTATATATGGGCACCTGGGTGGCTCAGTTGGTTAAGTATCTGCCTTCCACTCAAGTCATGATCTCAGAGTCCGGGGATGGAGCTCTGTGTTCTCCATGCTCAGTGGGAAGTCTGCTTCTCCCTCTTCCTCTGCTCCTCCTGCTTGTGCTCTCTCTCTCTCTCTCAAATAAATAAATGAATAAAATCTTTAAATAAATAAGTAAATGAATACTATATATGACTGAAACTAAAGTGAGCTTGAACGTAAAGGGGATTCCCTTATTTGCCCAATTAAAGATACCATGGGGTGTTTTTGTTTTTTTGTTTTTGTTTTTGTTTGTTTGTTTTTACCAGCTGGCATTTATCAACTTTTAGACATTTGGATGAAATAATATTTCTTTACATTATTTACCAATTTAGTTTGACATATCTCAAATCCTGTAGAATTTACAATAAAATATTAATTTAAGAAATGTTGCCTTTTTCCAAGCTTATTTTATAAAAGTTTTCCTTAATTTTTCATATTCATCTTCACCATCAGTGTCTTCTCATGACCTGAGACCCCTTTGGGTCACCTGATACAGTTCAAGGGCACAGTATGTCTACTTCCGTCTAGATGGAAAGTTAATGCCTATGAAATCTGAATATGGTCTTACGTCATTGGAATACTTTGTTCTAAGCCTCCAGGTCCCATTCATATAACATTAGGATGGTTGTTTCTGATTCAGTATTTCTCTCGAATGTTTTAAATGATCACATCAGAGTAAGATATTTAGAATTCAGTTAATTAAAATACAATTAATTTGAAGTAATATTTCAGATAATGAATTTTCTTTAATACTCTTTTTTTTTCTTTTTTCTTAAAAGGTTCCAGCAGAGGGAACTTTGTCCAAAAAGTTGGCAGCAATAAAGTAAGTTTATAATTACAGAAAGGGAGTAGATTTAAACTCTTTTCCATTTTGGTTAAAAGTTGAGATCATGTTTTCATGGATTTTTATATTTGGGTAAGACGTCATACTTGACCATTTTCTTACGTCTGTAATAGCATATAAACTTGTAAGATCTTTGTCTTTTAAGCCTTAAAATAAATGGTAGAGTCACAGAAAGTATTATAAAATAACTTACTAGAAAATGTACCATGAAAAATTTCAAGGGCGTTTAATTGAGCATAGTGCTTGGAAGAGAATAAGAAAGTCTTGTGCCCAGATATTCTAGTATAAATCATAAATACCATATTTTATCAGTTCTAAGGCACACGTTTTCCCATATCTTAATAATTTGAAGTCAGGATGCATCTGAAAGTCCGGAATGGCCCATAGTTGTTGTTGGTAGGTTAGGTTTTTCCAGAGTTCCATGTTTGCTTCTGTTGGTCACCTGGGGGTACTGCCAGTCTAATACCACTTCAGGCTCTCTGAGGGTTTGGAACTAGACTGGTAGTATGGTTTGTGGTTCATATTTTCAGAGAATTTTCCCCTATCCTATCCACTTGGTGCCAAGGATAAGACATTCAAGTTTCTTTACTCTTCCTTTATTTCTCATTAATCTTAAAAGTTGAAATATAATTGACATATAACATTTAAAATGTTATATGTTAATATAAGATTGTACAGTTTAAAGTGTAAACCTTTATTTCTCATTTACCTTCAGTTAAGTGCAGTGTTTCCTATTAATCTCTGATCTTGGATTTTTTTTTTTCTAACTAGCACATGTAATATAGATTTTACAAACAGATGTATATATTTGATATAGATATATTAATAGTTATACAGATTACATCTGAATGTAGGTACAGTTATAATAGATAAAATAAAGTAATATACCGTCAGGGTACCTAGGTGGCTCATGCCATTCAGCGTCCAACTCTTAGTCTCAGCTCAGCTCTTGTTCAAGCCTCACGTTGGGCTCCATGCTGGACATGAAACCTAAATAGCATTTATATATATAATACTTATTTCCATATATTTTATATATATAACATATATATATAAATAAAAAATATATATAAATATATAAAATAACATACTTTGAAAACATTGCAGTACAGTGGCCAAGACGTGGAAGCATTGTAAGTGTCCATCAATAGATGAACGGGGACACACACACACACACACACACACACACACGCATGTACATGCAGGAATATTATTCAGCCCGAAAAAAAGGGAAGGAAATCTTTCCATTTTTGACAACATGGACCTTGAAGGCATTAAGCCAAGTAAAGTAAGTCAGTGACTGAAAAACAGCTCAAGGGGCAACTGGGTAGCTCAGTTGAGTGTGTTGGTTTTGGCTACCTGTCATGATCTCGGGTTCGTGGGACTGAGCCCTGTGTTGGGCTCCACATTCAGGAGGGAGTCTGCTTCTCTCCCTCTCCCTGTCCCCCTGCTCGTGTACACTCTCTCTCTAAAGTTAATAAATCTTTAAAAAAAAGAATTCAAAGACACAGACTTCTCTGTGGTGAAACCCTTTGGTGGTTTCTCTATGTGAAGAAGGTGAAGGAGGTCAAAAGGTACAAACTTCCAGTTACAACTAAATAAGTCATGGAGATGTAATGTGCAGTATGGCGACTACAGTAATAATACTGTATTGGTTATTTGAAAGTTGCCAAGAGAGTAGATCTTAAAAGGTCACATCATAAAGGGGCACCTGAGTGGCTCAGTCGTTAAGTGTCTGCCTTTGGCTCAGGTCATGATCCCAGGGTCTTGGGATCCAGCCCCACACCAGGCTCCCTGCTCAGTGAGAGCCTGCTTCTCACTCTGCCTGCTGTTCCCCATGCTTGTGTTCACTGTTAAAAAAATTTGTGACCGTGTGCGGTGATGGATGTTAACTAGACTCCTTGTGGTGATCATTTTATAGTATATGCATATACCGAATCATATTGTACAACAGAAATTAATGTTATATGTCAATTATGTTTCAATAAAAAGAAGTCCCTAGTTACCTCAGCCAGTACTGATTGAATAAAGTTTTAAAAAAAATTTCAGGGGATCCCTTGGTGGCTTGGCGGCTTAGCACCTGCCTTTGGCCCAGGGTGTGATTTTGGAGTCCTGGGATCGAGTCCTACGTCGGGCTCCCTGCATGGAGCCTGCTTCCCTGCTTGTACTCTGCCTCTTTCTCTGTGTCTCTCATGAATAAATAAATAAAATATTTTAAAAAAAGATTCCATTTGAAACTGTTTTATACCTGAAGCTAATGTAATGTGTTGACTATACTCTAAATTTAAAAATATTCCTGGGAATCCTACAATAACAGGATTTTTGAATTAGGTGGTCCCTTTGAGCATTTTGGTGAGTTTGTTTCTACATTCATCCCTAATTTAGATTTGTTTGGCAGGCTGAGTTTCTGCCAATTTTTTCCCATACCCATACAATGTCAGGTATATAGTTAACACTTGATAAGTATGTGTTAGTATATGTTACTGACTCCACTAATGTTTGTTGGGTAACCAAACATGTCAGTCCTGCCATACGCAGGGCATTGTCCAGCTGTAAGGAATGGGAAATTTGATAAGACACAGGCCGCCTTCTTCAGACCATATAGGCCTCTTCCTCTCTTAGGCTGGAAGGGCCCAAGTGTCAACAGAAACCAAGATCTTGATAGGAGTGTACAATAGCCCTAAGTAGTTTTGGTGCCAGAAAAATGGAATTTTCACACTCTGATTGCCATTGGCCTCTGTGATACCAGCCCCCAATTAAAATTTTTTAAAAATTATTTGAACAAATAATGAAACAAATGGTTAAAAATGAAGTATAAAAGTGTATGCAGTGAGTGGCACCTGGGTGGCTAGGCTCAGTTGGTTAAGTATCCGACTTTTTTTTTTTAATTTTCTTTATTTATTCATGAGAGATGCAGGGAGAGAGAGGGAGAGGCAGAGACACAGGTAGAGGAAGAAGCAGGCTCCACGCAGGGAGCCTGATGTGGGACCTGATCCCGGGACTCCAGGACCACGCCCTGGGCCGAAGTCAGGCTCTAAACCGCTGAGCCACCCTGGGATCCCCAAGTGTCTGACTTTTGACCTCAGTTCATGTCATGAGTTCAAGCCTGGCGTTGGGCTCTATGCTGTGCATGGACCCTACTTAAAAAAAAAAAAAAAAGTGGGGAGGGAGTAAAAAATTTCTCTCCTAGACTTTTTCCCTTAGCCATTTTCCTGCTCTAGGCAGCTACTGGTTTTACTTTTTTGTATAACCTCCTAGAGACATTTTATGTGCTTACACACTGATACCCACATATATATGTTACTCCCCACACATATAACTTTTGACTTAGTAGTATTAAATGTGCATACTCCTCCACATGTTCCTTTTTTCCCCTTACTATAAACTGGAGATGTTTATCAGTGTAAAAATTATCCCCCTGTTCTTTTTCAGAGCATCTCTGTATTCTGTAAGGTATGCCATAACTTGTGTCAGCAAATTCTCCACTCATGGACATTGATGTGTTGTGGCAGTCTTGTGGCCATTACAAATAAGACTGGAGTGAATTACCTTGTTTTCATGTAATTTTGTACATGTGAGAATTATCTGTAGGATAAACTTTCTAGTAGTGGAATTGTTTGGTCAAAAATGTATTTGCATTTGTAATTTTGAGTGCTATCCTCGAGATGGTAACCGATGTGTATTCTCCCACCTTTACAAAATATAGATTTTTGAGCTTTTCAGTGATAGGTGAAAAATGATACTTGGAATTTGCACTTCTCTTGTGAGCAAGCATCTTTTCATATATTCAGGAGTCTTTTGTGCTTATCTGAGTTGTTGACCATCATTTTTCCATTTTTTTGTTGTTGAATAGTTTCTCATAGATATGTGGATGTTAAGGAAATCAGCCTTTAGTAATTTGAGTTAATGAATATTTCTCCTTATTTTTAGCTGCTATTTTGCTTGGAGGATTTTGCCACGTAAAACTTATTTTGTTTTTTTCATATAGTCTATTCCTTTGGCTTTGTTTCTACATTATTAAGGCATCACTTAACCTTCAATAAACTGCATATATTTAAAATGTACAATTTTATGAATTTAGCATATGTACGTGCTCATGAAATCATTCCCACAGTCAAGATTCTGAATACTAACATCACTCTGTATCATTGCCTTCGCCTCCCCACCCCATCCCCAAGCAGCCACTGACCCTGGCTCTGTTGTTAGCGTGCATTTTCTAGAATTTTATGTATATGGACTCATCATGCAGGAGATAACTGTTACCTACTTCTTTTGCTCAGCATGATGATTTTGAGATTCGCTCATGCTGCTGGATGTTCAGTGGCTTGTTCTTTTCTTTTCTTTTCTTTTCTTTTCTTTTCTCTTTTCTTTTTCTTTTTCTTTCTTTCTTTTTTTCTTATTGCCCAGAAGTATTCCATTGTGTGGCTGTACCAAAATGTGTTCATCATTCACCAGTTTGATGAATATTTAGGTTATTTAGGATTGGGGCTATCATGAATTACAGGTTCTAAAAACATTGGTATACAAATTATTTTTCTTGCTAAAGTATCTGGAGGTGTGGGATTGCTGGGTCTTGAGGGTATGTCAGTTTTCTAAAAGCTGCCAGATAATTTCCAAAGTGGTTGCAGCATTTTACATCCCACCAGTTGTGTGAGAACTCCAGTTGTGTCACATCCTCACCAGCACTTGTCAGTCATTTAATTTTTAGCCATTCAGAAGGTTTGTCATGTGGTTTCAATTTCTGTTTTGCTGATGACTAAGGATATCAATTATCTTTTCATGTGCTTATTGGCAGTTTGTATCTATTTGAAGAAGTGTCATTTGAAAAATTTTGCCTGTTTTCTGGTGGCTTGTCTTTTTATTTTATTTTATTTTATTAGAATGGGGAAGGGGCAGAGAGAGACAGAATCTTAAGCAGGCTCCATGTGTGGAGCCCAACATGGGGCTCGATCCCATGACCCTGAGAGCATGATCTGAACAGAAATCAAGAGTTGGATGCTAAACTGACTGAGCCACCCAGGGGCCCCAGCTTAGTATTGAGTTGTATGGAATTCTCTATTTTGAATGTAAGACCTTTTTCTCTTGTACATGCTTTGAATATTTTGCCCCAGTCTGTGGCTAACTTACTTAAGGGTGTCTTTTTTTTGTTGTTTTTGTTAAGATTTTATTCATGAGAGGGGCAGAGACACAGGCAGAGGAAGAAGCAGGCTTCTGCGAAGAGCCTGATGGACTCAATCCCAGGATCCTGGGACCATGACCTGAGCCAAAGGCAGATGCTCAACCACTGAGCCAACCAAGTGTCCCAGGGGTGTCTTTTAAAGAGCAGAAGTTTCAAATCTTATTTCAAATCCAGTGTAGAGAGTGCTGTTTTCTAGTGGTCTGTTCAGGTGGCTGTGGGGTTCACTGATGTCCTGGCTCGGCTGCAGATGCTGGCAGGCCCTGTCTGTCCCTGTGTCAGTGTGTCCGGGGGGTCTTCCCTCTCATGGCAGCCATGCTCTCTGCCTGATGCCTTTGGTGGGTCTTGTGCTGGAGACCATTTCCCACTCCTCACTGTGACAGGAGGCCTCCATTCTTCCAGCCTCAAGGGTATATCCCCTGTGCCCTAGGGGTGACAGGGTTTGTTGCCTCTGCCCTAGCAGATTAGCCCTCTCTGTAGGGAGAAGAATTAAATATTAGCTAAAATCAGTCCAACTCGCTTGTCTGGCACCGGTCCTGTGAACCAGAGCTGCTTCCTGTCTCTTGAGGTGGACCGATCTTTGCTTAGGGTTCAGGCTGCTGGGTTTCACTTTGTCTTCAGCTCTGGTGGCTTACAATGTTACAGGCTATCTGGCTTCTTATTGTTTAGGGTGAGAATGATGCTATTCTTGGCTTTGTATCTTGTAGATGTCATTAGTGTTTTTAAATATCTATCAAGGAACACCTGGGTGGCTGAGCAGTTGAGCATCTGCCTCTGGTTCAGGTTGTGATCCTGGAGTCCCGGGATCGAATCCCACATCGGGCTCCCTGCATGGAGCCTGCTTCTCCCTCTGCCTGCGTCTCTGCCTCTCTGTCTCTCTTTTCATGAATAAATAAGTAAAATCTTTTTTTTTTAATATTTTATTTATTTTATTCATGATAGAGAGAGAGAGAGAGGCAGAGACGCAGGCAGAGGGAGAAGCAGGCTCCATGCAGGGAGCCCGACATGGGACTCGATCCCGGGACCCCAGGATCACGTCCTGGGCCAAAGGCAGGTGCTAAACTGCTGAGCCACCCAGGGATCCCCAAATAAATAAAATCTTTAAAAAAAATAATTTATCAAGCCTGATACAAAACATGTTCTTGCCACATCTAAGGGAGCAGAACTGCATTCTTGCCCTCCTATTCCCTGTGCCAAGGATCCTTTCTCCTCAAGTAACAGTACAATTAAGAGTTTTTAAAGTCACTTTCCATTTAGGTTGTCTTGGGATTAGGCCTAGTCCATTTGGGCTGCCATAACAAAATACCACAGACTGGATGGCTTTTTATAAACAATAGAAATTTCTTTCTCACAGTTTCAGAGGCTGGGAAGTCAGAGATTAGAGTCCCAGCATGGTTGCATTCTGGTGAGGGTCGGCTTCCTGATTCATAGCCAGTGCCTTCTCACTGTGTCCTCACATTTTATATTGTGAGATAAGATTTAAAAAAGGACTAGGAGCTCTGTGGGGTACTTTTTTTAAGAGCACTAGCCCCATTCATGAGGATTTCACCCTATGACATTAGCAACGCCCAAAGGCCTCACCTTCTATTACCATCACATTGGGCATTAAATGGATTTCAATATATGAATTTGGAGAGGATGAAAACATGACAACACCAGGATTGCTGTAGGACATGCTAATTAGGATGTTGTCAGCAAATGTGTGTTGCACAGACTGAGTAGGGTCCCTGGAGTCACGTAGGTGTGTTTTAAGTCCTAGGCTTGCCACTTCTTGCCTTGTGATCATGGCACTTCTCTGAGTCTCAGCTTTCTTATCCATAAAATCAGAAAAGTAACACCCATGTCAGAGATGTGAGATTAAATGAAATACATAAAATGTCTAACCAGTACCCGATATTATATTAGGCATTCAGTAAATCATAGCTAGTTTTATCAATATAAAACTATCACATAGTGTTGTATATTATTACAGAGTGCCATGAATAATGCTCTGGTGTTTCCTAGTATCTTTCTTGATGGTACTCATTCGTTTATTAGTGTTTTTGTTACTTCAAAAACAATAGGTTCGTGTCTTCAGAGAAGAATCTCTGGTCATTAGTAGGTCCTTTTTGCTGATTGGTCACATCTAAATTACATGACCATTTTGGAAACCTAGTGAATTAGTGGGTGTAGGCATTGAGCAGCAATAACTGCAGTTACTAAGGTGAAAACTAGTCATGACATGTTTTCCGTTGAAAGAACACAGCACTACCTCTAGTCCTGACAAAGGGGTGCAGTCTGAGTCTGATCATACCTCTGGATCTGGCTGCCAATTTGCCAAGAAATCGCAAGGACAGAGGTACACATTGAATTATATTGTTAGCTTGTATACAATAAAATCCAGGCTTTGGAAATTTCACTAGGTTGAACAGTGAGGTAAAGAAAGAGAGGGACGCCTGTGTGGCTCAGTGGTTGAGCATCTGCCTTTGGCTCAGGGCGTGGTTCTAGGATCGAGTCCTGTGTTGGGCTCTCTGCATGGAGCCTGCTTCTCCCTCTGCCTGTGTCTCTGCCTCTCTTTCTATGTCTCTTGGAAATAAATAAATAAATAAATAAATAAATAAATAAATAAAATCTTTATTAAAAAAGAGAGAAAAAAGTGGAATCCTTGCAGGGGCACCTGGATTGTACAGTCTGTTAAGTGTCTGACTTCGGCTCAGATTGAGATCTTGGGGTCCTGGGATCGAGCCCATCGGGTTTCCTGCTTAGTGGGGAGTCTGCCTGTGCCTCTTCCTCTGACCTTCTCCCAACTCATGTGCTCACTCTGCCAAGAGAGAATAAAGTCTTAAAAAACAAAAGGAGATGGGGGGGAATCCTACAGACTAAACCAGACTCAGAAGACTTCCAGAGTCCCCAAATGGACAAGACCAAAGTATAATCAAAGAGTACACACTTGAGTAACAAAACCACGTAGACATGCAAGGAGGTGGTTTCTGTAAAATTGGGGGGGAGGAGGCACAGAGAGAGGCTTTGGGGTGGACAATGGCTGCAAGGGTATTGATCTTTGATATTTCTCTAAGCTATACACATTTGTGTAGTTTTTATTTTACAGTAAGATGAATCAAGTTGGCAGTCACATCTACTTATATGTGTGTTAAGTACAGAGCTGCAGCTAAGATGATCATTTCTAGCCTTGTAGCATTGCATGGGTGGCCTTGCTTGCTCTCTTGTAGTGATGACTAATAAGGAGGCACAGGTTACATGTTTTGTCCAATATCTGTATAAGTCGTGTGTGATTTTTTGAGTTGTTATTAAGTAGTTATTAAAAGAGATGAAACTGGGACACCTGGGTGGCTCAGCGGTTGAGCACCTGCCTTTGGCCCAGGATGTGATCCTGGAGACCCGGGATCAAAGTCCTGCATCGGGCTCCCTGCATGGAGCCTGCTTCTCCCTCTGACTGTGTCTCTCCCTCCCTCTCTCTCTCTCTCTCTGTCTCTCAGAACGAATAAATAAAATCTTTAGAAAAAGAGAGAGAGAGAGAGAGAGGTGAAACTTCCCCCCAGGAATTCTTGTCATAGGTATTGATTGAAAGTGAGAAGGAAATAAGCTGTATTTTTTTAGTGACTTTGAGATTAATAGCTTTTATATTGTCTTTTCTTGTTGTATAGACGTAAAATTCATCCTGATCAGAAATATATTAATGCTTATGTTGTGTTTAAGGACGAGAGCTCTGCTACAAAAGCCTTGAAAAGGTAATTTTATCTCTTTGATATTTGAACAGAATGATTGTATTTAAGTGATTGTATGAGTACATGTGTTATTCTTTGGTTTGACTTTAGAGTGAATATTACAGTTAATATTCGGTGCTTATTTTTAACAGCCATTTTCCCCTTCGTATTTATAATACAGAAATGGTACCCAAATTGCAGATGGATTTCGTATTAGAGTTGATCTTGCATCTGAGACTTCATCTGTAAGTAGTACTTGAGTTGTGTAAAGAACTTAACTAGAGTCTCATAAAATGAAACGTTTTCTTCTGAGGTTTTGCTAGGAGAGGAATGGAATCAGCAGTGAGCGTGAGGAAGCTGAGAAGGAAACATTTTTGCCCTTTGTGGTATAGTGTTGGTGCCCAGAGTGGCACAAGGACCTCAGTCAACAGCTTCCACCCACCACTCCTAGATCAAGCAATTAGAGAGAGTTACCCTGGAGGGGATATTGGAGATCACTGGGGCTGACATGTTATTTCACATACTGAGATTGAGAAAGGTAAACTGCTCCTTAAACAGTTTTTGAGTCCCTACTCTATGTCAGGCATGCAGTGCTGAGATACAGTCTCACTTCTCTAGAGGTTCACAGTATAAAGGTGAAGACAGAACAGACAGGCTGATTGTGGCTCTATTTTATGATAAGTACACCAGATGCTTTGGCAGCTTAGGATAGGGACACTTGAGGTGCCAGCAAGAAGGGACAAAGGAGGGCTTCCAGGAGAACAGGTGCTCTGTCAAACTTGAAAGATGAGTCAGTGTTATCTAGGCCCAAGAAATTTTAAATAGTATGTGTAGTGGAGGCCAAAATTTAATTGGCTTCGGACCGGCAAGAGCTTGATACAGTTATTAGAGGTAGAGTGTGAGGAGGAACAGCAGTAAGAGTTGCTGTTGAGGAACTAGGAAGAGGCCAAATCACGAAGAGTGGCCTGCTGTGTTGAGGAGTCCGGATTTTATCCAGGAGCAGTCCCACAGGTTTAAATGCAGGAGCAACCTGCCCAGATTTGCAGTTTATATCTCTCACAGTGAGCAAAGGCTACTTTATAAGGGCTCACCACAGGAAAAGAGGGTGCATTACCATGGCTAAGAAATGACCTCTCTGGCTTTGACCATTGACCCATCCTGAGGGCCAAATCCATCTGCTGCTTGTGTTATTTAAGTAAAGTCTTAATAGCACACAACCATATGCATTAGGTTACATGTTAATGTGGTGTTATGGGGGGGCGGGGGTGGATGGCAGGGGTGGTGGGGTAGTTACAACAGAGACCACACGGCTGGCCAAGCCTGGCATACCTGCTGTCTGGCCCGGTACAGAGACAGTTTCTAATCTAGCATGCTCTTTTTGAGCACGGCCATGTGTTCCTGTTAGCTGTGATAAAAAAAAATAACTATTTCCTCTTATGCTCACTCACTTTGGAGCAGGAAGAAGGAAGAAACACTCAAACAGGGGACTGGTATGAGTTGAATCAGAAGGTGGAGGGGGCGGCTAGGTGGCTCAGTTAGTTAAGCCTCTGCCTTTGGCTCAGGTCATGATCTCAGGGTCCTGGGATCGAGCCCTTTGTTGGGCTCCCTGCTCCGCAGAAAGCCTGCTTCTCCCTCTTCCCCCTTGTGCTCACTCTCTTTCTCTCTCACTCTCTCTCAAATGAATAAATAAAATCTTAAAAAAAATAAATCAGGAAATGGAGATCTGTCAGATATGTGGGGCGAGAGAAAGAGTGCATTTTAGGATGGTTTCCATTTGCTGCTCTAGTTATATTTATTCTCTTTATGTTTCAGAGGGACAAGAGATCAGTGTTTGTGGGAAATCTCCCGTACAGTAAGTTCATTTAAACCAATAAAGCACCTGTTTATCATTAAAATAACAGGAAAATAATAACTAAATAATAACGATGTTTTGCTTTAAAACTAACTTAAAAAAGTATGGAGTATAATGTGACTAATTTTCATGGGGCTCACTATATTAGCTGTATTATGTTAACTTGCTACATTATTAAACATCTCCAGCTTTCTAAGGCAATCCTGTTCTTACTTATATTTTTGACTGAATTTCTTTTTAGAAGTTGAAGAATCTGCGGTTGAGGAACACTTTTTGGATTGTGGGAGTATTGTGGCAGTAAGAATTGTGAGAGACCGAGTTACTGGAGTTGGCAGAGGATTCGGTTACGTGCTCTTTGAGGTATGGGAGACTAGTGATTGTCACTGTTCTCTGAAATGCACTGGACAGGCTGTCACTGCTCTTTCATCATTCAGACATAACTCACTGTCACCTTCAGATTACATCTTCAGAAACCTAAACTCAGAACCTGCCATGATAGACTATCGTTTCTGTCATTATACCTCATCAAAAGTCATTACAGTTCACTCTTTCTCCATATTAATGTTAGTAAGTAATATTTTAGGTACTGAATACGTAAGGTATTTAATCTCGGAATTTCCACCTTCCATGAAGTGGAAAAAGATTGAAATCCATCATGATCTAAGTGACATTTCAACACATGTGGTATTTACAACCAACTTCCCTAGGAAACCTTCCCTGGTTGGGTTTTAATTCAGTTGGGTACAGGTTGTGGCTGGCTCCAGTGGAGGTCTGGTGGCAAGAAGCTGCTAGATGAGAGATTTGGAGAGGAGATCACATAGACCAGTAAGGAGGAAACTTTACATGGGAATCTTAAGATTGGCAGCTATGCTAGTCACCTACGTGGCTGTCCTGTGCCCAAGAGAGACAACTTTTTTTTAAGATTGTTTGTTTGATTGATTGATTCATTCATTCATGAGATACACACACACACACAGAGAGAGAGGGGGGGGGGGGCAGAGACAGAAGAAGGAGAAGGAGAAGCAGGCTCCATGCAGGGAACCTGATGCGGGACTCTACTGCAGGATCGAGTCCTGAGCCAAAGGCAGACGCTCAACCACTGAGCCACATAGGCATCCCCTAGACAACTTTGTATGAGGACAGGAATAAAGACAGCATCAAGTTTCTAGGTCTTCTCTTTTTATCAAGGGTGCTTAACTTTTAGCCAAAAGGCAGGCTTTCTCCTCTCGTGAGTTAGCCAGAGGCTAGAAGATTGCAACTTGAACAATTAGCATGAAAGTGTTCCAGTGAGACCATATTCCTTGAAAAGCCCTTGAAATGAGAGTAAAAGGGATGCCTGGGTGCCTCAGCAGCGGATCCTCTGCCTTTGGCCCAGTAGGCTCAGAGCGCGATCCCAGCCCAGGTCCCACATCGGGCTCCCTGTGAGGGGCCTGCTTCTCCCTCTATCTATGTCTCTGTCTCTCTCTGTGTCTCTCATAAATAAATAAATAAAAGTCTTTAAAAAAAATGAGAGTAAAAGATGAGAAGTGAAAGGACTCACCAAGTTTGCGCTGAGTTTCAGTCCAGATGAAAAGAAGACATACCTCATGTTGGGCACCAAATGACGTAGTTTTTGGAGTGTTGGTGTTGGAATCCAGAGCTGAAGGCCAAGGAAGAATTGTTGAGCTGTCTTTGATTCAAAAAGGTGATTTTATTAAAAGCACAGGGACAGGACCCATGGACAGAAAGGGCTGCATTTTAAGTGCGAGGGGTGACTTGATTTTTTACTTGGGACTTAGGGGAGCTAAGGACAAAGGGAGGTTTCAAAAAGGACTTTAATATGCTAAAGAAGACTCGGATACTGGAGCCCTGGCTATTGTCAAGCTAAGGGAGTTTGTTTTTCCCTCTGGTAGGCATTAAAAATTAAGAGAGTTGAGAATTCCCTGGAGGAACATTATACTCTGCCTATCTCAAGTATTTGTCAATGGGCCACAGATTATAAACTAATTTAATTTTATTTACATTCCCTTTTTCCTCTGTTTCCCACATCCTTGTGGAGGGGAGGGTGATGTTAAGGCTCCAGGAAATTGAGTCTGTGGGTCTCTGGGAGTTAGGCGATTGATAAGAATGCTTTTTCCTCCTAAATCACTAAGACATTTGTAAACTGATGGACACTCACACTTACAGGACTGTCATCTCTATCAGTTAACCATTTGTTTTTCCCTTCCCTTAGTTTAAGGGCACCCAAGGAATGCCTGAGGAATGTCACACATATCCCACCTGGGAATCCGCTTGTGCTTTGTCCTCAGCTAGCTTTCTGCTCTGTCATGAAAGAGACGTGACCATGTTTAATACTCTTGCTATGTTTTATTATGAGGTAGCTTTTGAGAAAGGTGGTCACAGCCGTTTGTTTCCATCTGGAAACTGGAGTTACATCACTTTCTCTGCTGTCTACTATTGCTTGATAAGTTTGTAAAGTCCTTTAACAAATATGAATATTCAAGATTGTTAGCATTTAGTGGTTCTATATTACACTGGAAAAGTAATAGAACTTGGAATATAAACAAAATCCTGCAAGGCATCTAGCTCAGCGTCTTCAGACTTCCCTTCTCTCAAGTCAACTAACACAAGAGGAGGTTCATTGATTTAGAAGATTGCACATGACTAATCTTGGCTGAAACTCCCGTTTTACAATGAGAAAAATGAAGCCTGTCGGATTGTGATTTACCTGACTGTGACAAGGCAGCTGAGTGCTTCCTGGGGGAAAACTCAAGAGGAGCATGGTGAACACGACACTTCAAGGACAGTTGTTGAAACCCATGGGATTGAACCTCTTGGATATGGAAATGGGAGGGGTTTCTGTCTATGAGCAGGCTTAAAAATTGTTCTAATCCATTCAAGTCAGAATTTTACTAGTTTCTTGGCAGAGGATTTTTTGGTAGAAATTAATATATTGATTTTTATTGCAGAATACAGATGCTGTTCATCTTGCTCTGAAATTAAATAATTCTGAACTGATGGGAAGAAAACTGAGAGTCATGCGTTCTGTTAATAAAGAAAAATTAAAACCAAATTCAAATCCCAGTTTGAAGAATGTTGGTAAACCTAAGGAGGGACTTAATTCCGCTTCAAAAAATGTAGGACTGTGTAAAAATTTGTTTATTGGAGAAAAAGCTGTTCTCATTAAGAAGAAGAGGAAGAAAGGACAAAAGAAAAGTGGACACGCTAAGAAACAGAAAAAACGGAAGTAACCACCCGAAGATTATTTAGTTCCCGCTGAGTACTGGTAATAAAGGTGTGGTAAACCCATGAATTGAGTTTCAGTTTTTTTATGGATGGTGCGTGTGAAACGTGGAAACCTTTTCATTCTATTCACATTGTAATAACATCTTTGAAGCCTTTGTTTTAGGATGTAGGCAGATTAGTCACCATGATTATGTGTTTCTGCTGATGGTATAAGGGATGATTTTAGACTTAGGGTAAACACTTAGAATTTTAGTGGTTATGTATTAGTGTAAGTTAGAAGTATGTAATTAACACTTCAGATGGTTATTTCAAGAATTGAGATGAGAATAAAGTGAGTAAATTAAAAAATACACGCACTTTAATACTAGCTGGACCTAGACAGAGTTGGAATACTGATCTAATACAAACCCCAGTCCCAAAGAAGAAAGGGTTTTAAGGGCTGTTATATAATAGCCACTCATTCTTCATCCTTTCTCTTGAACTTGTGAAAAGGGGAGTTCTGGGTTTCTATTTTATTTCATCAACCTAGTAGTAATAAACCCAAGGACTTTATATGACTTGTTGCTTTGATTTCTTAACCAGTAATTAAACTTGTTATTGAAGTCCTTGGGAAACTGTCTTGTCAAGCAGATTTCAACTTTTATTTCTGTTTTTTAATTTGAACAAATATTCTTCCAGGAAAACTTGGTATTCTTAAATTAGTGTCATGCAATAGAATGAAACAGCCATTCAAAAAACCCCATTTAAAGGATATTTTCTAATGAAATATGGTAAATAAGTCATAAAATTCAACAAGGGAGAGAATACCATTTCATTTTCCTTGGCCTCAAGCCTATGCTGTAGATGTTGGCCCGCTCACAGAACTTACCAAGCAGCCTCTGTGCCCAGGAGGGAGGGGTGGGAGAAATCCAGGAGTGCTGAGTCTTATGTGTATCACTTAGGTAGGTGAGGGGATTGAGAAACAGTGAGTTATTACTGATTATTTTACTTTAAGATTTTTTTTTTTAAGATTTTTATTTATTCACGAGAGACACAGAGAGAGAGGGACAGAGACACAGGCAGAGAGAAGCAGGCTCCATGCAGGGAGCCGGATGTGGGACTCAATCTTGGGACTCCGGGATCACACTCTGGGCCAAAGGCAGGTACTTAAGCACTGAGCCACCCAGGTATCCGTAAGATTTTTTATTTATTTGACAGAGTACAAGCTGCGGGAGGAGCAGGGAGAGGGTGATTGAGAAGCAGGCTTCCCACTGAGCAGAGAGCCTGATGTGGAGCTCGATCCCAGGACCCTGTGATCATGACCTGAGCTGAAGGTAGATGCTTAACTGAGCCACCCAGGTGCCCCATTATGGATTATTTTTAAAATCCTGCCTTTTGGGCATAGCACCAGGAAAACCTACTAGGTTAAAATATAATTTGTAGAAATTAGAGCTCTTATTTTCCCGTATCCAGAGAGTAGATATTTCATGTTTAGCATCATCTTAGCATCTAGTTTTTCATAAATATGGTTCAGTAAATACTACTTGATAATCTTAAGCATTTTTCCATATGTTTCAGTTAAACTTATATGAAGATACATTGCCTATAGACTTTATAGACTATCACTGTAGGTAAAGAGTATATGGTGTATAATTTTCTTGTATCTTATAGTGTGTATATTGGTGTACATTATATTATGTATAATTTACAATGTACATATAAGTTTGTATAATTTTAGTCTTTAACGTAGAGTGCTCCTTTTGGTCTCTAGGTTTTTATGTAAAGAGCCCTGGACAGGAGCATAGGGGCATCTGGTTCTTTTTTTTTTTTTTTTTTAAATGGTTCATGTGAGGGCTTTATTTTTTTTATTTTATTTTATTTTTAAAGATCTTATTTATTCATGAGAGACGCAGAGAGAGAGAAAGAGGCAGAGACACAGGCAGAGGGAGAAGCAGGCTCCATGCAGGGAGCCCAACGTGGGACTCGATCCCAGGTCTCCAGGATCACACCCTGGGCTGCAGGCAGCGCTAAACCGCTGCGCCACCAGGGCTGCCCAGGCATCTGGTTCTTGATCAAGCTCTGGGGCTGTGTATGCATAACCTGGGACCAGCCTCTCAACCTCTTCATCTAAATATCTTGATTGGTGAAGTAAGGGGCATGGACTAGAGCAGCATTATCATTGTTTTTGATTATGATCTGTTGTAGTAGCTTTAACTTTACTTTGCAACAGGTACAAACATGGATATATTTAACTGACATGAAAGTTGCACGTGACAGTACTTGTCCTTACTACACATGTTGTTTTCTGATCTGTGTATGGTTTTTTTTTTTTAATTTATTTATGATAGGCACACAGAGAGAGAGAGAGAGAGAGAGAGGCAGAGACACAGGCAGAGGGAGAAGCAGGCTCCATGCACCAGGAGCCCGACGTGGGATTCGATCCCGGGTTCTCCAGGATCGCGCCCTGGGCCAAAGGCAGGCGCCAAACCGGGGATCCCTGATCTGTGTATGTTTTTAAAGATTTATTTATTTGAGAGAGAGAGACAGCATGAGCAGAGGGAGTGGCAGAAGGAAAGGAAGAGCAATTTCAAGAAGACTCTGCACTGACCTGGGAGCCTGATCCAGGACCTCAGCCAAAACCAAAAGCCAGATACCCCGCTTCCTGATATTTTAAATCCTATTTTATTAATAACAAACACTAGTTATGGTCCACTGAGGGTATTCTACAGCCCAGTAAGGATTTGACTCACAAACAAGTGCATAGGGGATTCCAGGCTGTTTCTGTTTCAGGATTCTTCTGTGCTCGTGTTTTACAACAGGTGTTTTAAAATGTAGAGTGCTTAAGGGACAAAAGGGTGATGTTGCTCTAACCATGCTTTCTATAAACATACTACCTGGTCTACTTTATGTCATAGGTCTGACCTGAACATTTACCTCAGGTTTACTTACTATGCACAATATAGGGATAGTTCTTCGTTCATTCAGGAATCATAATCTAATGGCCATATAGTCTGTTTTCAAGAGACTGGAGTGCTAGGCCTCAGGTCATCTGTGTGGCCTTGGATAAGTCTTCTGTTTCAACATACCTGAGGCTCAGGGTATACCTCTAACAGCTGAGACTGACAGCGTTTTGGAACAGAAGAATCAGAATGTATGTGTACAGTGCATAAGGGAAAGCTTTTTGTGTTACTCTCTTCTGTGTAAATCTCAATTGTTTGCTTTGCTTTGGTACATAATGCACACCATTCCCCATCCTCCACCCCAGTCCAGGCAATGCATACCTTTGGTCCAATTTCCAGTCTTCCATAGGGTCTCAAGTTCATCGTCACTTAAGCATGAGGGCTTTCCTGGCCTAGGTTAGGGCCTCCAGCTAAATGTTCCTATAAGTACCCTTGCAATAACTTCTGATACCAACTATCCAGAGTTATGAAGTCTGCTTCATAGGTTAAGAGCACAGTTTTCTACAAGATTGCCTTCAGACACCAGACAAAAATTTGGCTGGGGCGGGGGGTGGGGCGGTCCTCCAGGTCACTTTATGACCAGCTGGCTACTAGTTTGGGAGTTTCCACTACCCCTTCAGGTTCAATTTAGCTATAAGGACTTCATTCAGGAACATGTTACACTTTTTTTTTTTTTAAGTTTTATTTAAGTAAGCTCTTCACCCAACATGGGGCTGGACCTCACAATCAGGAGATCGAGTCTCATGTTCCTCTGGCTGAGCCAGTCAGGTGCCCCAGGAACATGTTATACTTTAAAATTACAATTTTATCATAGCAAAAGAAGTACAAACCAGTCACAGGGAAAGACATGGAGAAGTCTGGGAAGGTTCTGTCGTCCCCTCCCAATGGAGCCCAAAATACTTCACCCTCCTACCTAGCACAGGGCACACTGGTGTAATTATTACATAGAGTATTGCCAACCTAGGAGGCTCAGTTGCTTCTGGGTCTTGAGTTTTTATTTGGGTCTCATTATGTCAGCCATGGGCCATGAAGTTCAGCTCAATCTCCAGCTTCCTCCCCTGCAATCAATCCCTTCCCCTCCCCAGGGATGTCACCTGGATCAAAGCCCCAACCCTCTAACCACATGGTTGATCTCTCTGGCCTGGCCAGCCCCATCAGGAGGCTTCTCAGCATAGTCTTGTCAAGGGCTCAAGGTAAGAGCATTGCTGTCACTTCAAGGGTTTAAAAGGATCCCTCACGTTTATTACACAACCCTGTATATGCCTTCTCTTACTCTTCTCTATTTTTGTAAGGATTTTATTAGTTTATGAGAGACGGGGTGGGGGTGCAGAGGGAAAGGAAGAAGCAGGCTCCCCACTGGGCAGGGAAACCCGTGTGGGACTCGATCCCACAACCATGGGATCACGATCTGAGCCACAGGCGGATGCTCAGCCCCTTAGCCACCCAGGCGCCCACCCCTCTCAATTTATAGTTTTTCTATGTCGGCTTTCTGGTCAAGGTTTTGTCTTAAACAACCATGTTGCCAGTGACTGTAAGACGACTCATGTTTTCAATTTTTTTCAATCTCCTTTCTCCGTTATTTTTCCAGGAACTGTCCAGCTTCATTTTCTTCCTCCCTTCATGAGTATACTGTGATGTTCTTTTGACCCCGAATCACTAGATCATGTGGCTTGCTGCACAGCGGATGTGAGCGGACTTGAAAAGCAAACTCTGTCCTCATCAAAAGAGCCACAGGTCGCCTCGTTTATAAAAGAGTAAGACGAAGCATCTGTCGTCAGCCCCTTCCATCCTTGTCGGACACAAGCACGCACGCCAGCTGCAGAGTCCCGAGTGTGTGCACGGCAGCCACGCGCCCCCTTCCTACGTCACTCTCAGCGGCTCTAGAAGAATCGCGAGATCACCAGCAAACCCCGACACCAACGCACACCGGCGGGGAGGCGCTGCGCGACGGCACCTAGGCCCCCCGCGCAGGCGCAGAAGCGGCGCGGGCGCCGCGGCTCAGGCACCGCCGCGGACTCGCCTCAGGACCTCGCGCGGCTGGGCCCGGAAGTGCGTGCGCTCGGCCTTTCCGCGTCCCTCGCGGCGAGCGTCAGGTCGTAGCGGCGTGGTCCGCGCCGAGGGGTCGCGGCCAACTGCTCCTTCGCGGGCCCCGCCGCCGCCGCGCTCGCCCTGCTCCTCGGTGGAGGGAAGATGGTGGGCCGGAACAGCGCCATCGCCGCCGGCGTCTGCGGGGCTCTTTTCATCGGGTACTGCATCTACTTCGACCGTAAGAGACGGAGCGACCCCAACTTCAAGAACAGGCTTCGAGAACGTGAGTGGGTCCTCTGCCCCGGCCCGCAGCGTTCGTCCGCCCGCCCGCCCGCCCGCCCGGCGCCGCCCCCGGCGCCCTGCACGATTCCCTCCATTTTGGACCGGCGCTTTTCCCCGTTTTGTGTTCCCCGACCGCTGGCCGTCGGAATGCACGGTCGATTGTGTTGTTCGGGGGTGGGGGTGGGGGTGGGGGAGGGGAGGGGGATGGGGGGGCTCTTTCCTTTAAACCGCTCTGTTTAACTCGAGAGTCGTGTGTTTTGTTTTGGCGAATCGGTGCCTGACACCGGATCCGTAAATCAACGGTATCGTTGCCGCATTCTTAAACCCTCTTGGTGGCTTCCCAAAACATGCTTCCAAGATATGAGTGAATGCTATAGAAATTGCAGGGGCGTCCAAAGGGCTGCGCTTCCCGTGTGGTTCAGTCTTATTTCATACCTGCGACATCTTCTAAGCGAGTTCTCATGAGGGAAGTCGTGTCACCAAGACCTTTGTGGTCTTTACATTTCGAGGGCCTCCGTATTAGCAACAGTGGAAGAGTAAATTTGTTGGATAAGGAATATTTTTATGACTTATCTAGGTTGCTCAGTCAAAGTAATCTCTAAAGTTAAAATTGAGGGGCACCGGCGTGGGTCAGCGGGTTTAGCATCCAGCTGTTGGTTCCAGCTCAGGCCGTGGTCTCAGGGTCGTGAGTTCCCTCTCGAGCGGGGGGTCTACCTCCCTACCCTCCTTTGCCCTCTGCCCCTCCCCCCACTTGTGTACTTTCTCTAAAATAAACAAATCTTAAAAATAAAATTGATACGTAAGGTACTAAAGCCCAGAAGGTATGAAGGTGTGATTATCCTCATTTAATCAAGCTCTAGTAAGATATTTCAAGTGTTCAGAAGCCCCACGTGGCTAGTGACCTACCCTCTTGGGGGCATAAGATGATCTTAAATCATCTAGAATATGACATCTAATTCTAGCTGTCCTATGTTTTGGGAGGGAAGGGATACAGAGAATTTATCTTATTTACAGTTAGATTAATGGAAGGAAAGCCATTTTGGATTCAGACACTCATTTTTCCAGGCTTAGGTTAGTCATAGATCAGCTGTGTGATTTTAAACTTGCTTAATCTTGATTTTCATAGCTGGTAAAATCAGGTAATGTCCCCTGCCTCTGGTTGTTTTTGTGAAGACGCTGTGTGAAGCACTCACCATCATTGATGACAAGAGAAAGCCCTTCCAGAAATGCCGGCTCTAAGCATAGCTAGAAATTTAGATCATTTTCTGGTAGTTTCAATAATAGTTGGAGGGATGGTGGTGGTGGTTTGGCTACAGAGCTTAGTAAAGAATGGATTAAGCTTTTCTTCCTCTGGAAACACTGTCATCCTGTCGTTAGAAACCTTGAGAAAACTAATTTTTGGTGGAGGAAACCGTAAGAGCTGTCATTTTAGACAAATTGGGAGATTATTTTCAAAGTCCCTTTTCCATCATCTTCAGTCCATAATTTTTTTTTCCTGGAGTTAGTGGCCTAATGATGATTTCAGTGGTCAGCCTTGAATGATGAGTAACCTTGGGCAAGCGACTAAAACTTTCATTTCCCTCTTTTGTGAAATGTTATAGTATGTAGGGACTTTAGTACAGTCCCTGGCATGTGGTAATAAATGGATGTGAAAGAATGTTTATAAATATAATTATTTGTTGATATTTTCTTTAGGAAGTAAAATTTTTATTCAGAGTGATTCTGCAATCTGTAAGTTCATGTTTTATGTGTATGTTTGAAAGTAGACAAAATCTGTTTTAACTTGTTAGGTTTATATAGTAGCACTTGGGATTAATTTCTAGGTAATAACTGAGTCAAGGCCTGATTTTACTCATTGAATGTGTAATTCCATGGTTTTTCAGTCTATTACTATCCTTCCCTTATTACAGGGATAGTATAATATACTGATAAAATAACGAGTAAATTGTTTTATGAAACTAAAGCTAGAAGTTTAATCTTATGCTAGAAATTTAAAGCAACTCATCAGTCTTAAATTTGGTAATTGTATCAGTCAGACATTCAAACATAATCACTCTCCACTGCATTAAAAAAAAAATTATAAGATTGATAGTAATGGAAACTAAGTTTCTCTCTAGTGGGTTTCATTATTATTTTTGTCATTTTCCAGAAATCTGGCTTAGCAAATTCTGTTTATTCCACTAACTTGCCATGTTCATTTTGGAGGTCCCTTTTCTTTTTATGGGAATGTGTTCCCTTCTGTTAGAAGGGATAGAAGGAGGGACCCCTGGGTGGCTCAGTAGTTTAGCGCCTGCCTTCAGCCCAAGGTGTGATCCTGGAGACCTGGGTTCGTGTCCTGCATTGGGCTCTCTGCATGGAGCCTGCTTCTCCCTCTGCCTGTGTCTCTGCCCCCTCCCCTTCTCTCTGTCTCTCTCATGAGTAAATAAGTAAAATCTTAAAAGAAGAAGGGATAGAAGGTAGTGGAAGGATAATAAAGTTATCTCCCAAACTGAGAAGATACTTTGTGGCTGAAAAATGAAGCTGATGACTCCATACACTTTACAGTTTTATGCAGCTTATTTTGCAGGGGGAGGGGTGGGCAGATGACAATCCGGCTGCACAGTTACTCTCCACAAAGTCCAGACCTAAATCCACAGATTTTATAGAGTGAGGGCATTAACAGAAATGGCATTGTTGCAAGATTAAAAGGTTCGCCCACACCTCAGAGGATTTGCATGCACCCAAATGACAGCTAACCTTTCATTAGATATTGTGGCACTGCCTGTGTCAGGAAGAAGAAATGCTGTGTTCTCTCTCACAGATTCATGGAAAGGCCAAAGAAAGACTGCCCCATTGTGGCCTAGGGCCTTTCTAGGGTATGTACATGAAACTCCAAGGGACCTGGAACACGAGGTCTCAAGAGAGGTCAGCCAGTGCACATGTGAACAAGATGGAAGGCCAAAGACAGAGTCGGAGTCGTATTGTCAGTCAGCATTGTTACAGCTTCCCTCTAGCATATGGAGGCGATACAGAATAATGTTTGAGGACACGTGTTCTGAAGTTCATCTGCTTGGCTTTGAATTGCCCCTCTCCCCGCTTAATAGTTAGGACCTTGGTAAACGTTCTCATCTGTAAAATGGAGCTCATAGTAGTACTTGTTTGAGTGTTGCTGTGAGGATCAAGCAAGCAAATTAATAGCCTTTAGAATAGTGTCTGGCACGTGGCATCTAAAACTTGCTGAGTGGGATCCCTGGGTGGCGCAGCGGTTTGGTGCCTGCCTTTGGCCCAGGGCGCGATTCTGGAGTCCCCGGATCGAATCCCACGTTGGGCTCCCGGTGCATGGAGCCTGCTTCTCCCTCTGCCTATGTCTCTGCCTCTTTCTCTCTCTCTGTGTGTGACTATCATAAAATAAATAAAAATTTAAAAAAAAAAAAAACCTTGCTGAGTACTTACCCTCAACCTCTCATTGTTCCTTTGCCTTCAGGTCTGCTGCTTCTGTGTAGCAGTAGTGATATTTAGTAATTAATATAGTATGGTAGCATTATTCTGTGCCTAAGGATACCCTTAAGCAAATTGAAGATAGAATATGATGTGTTCTGTGTCCCCACAGTTAGTTGCCTGAAGATGAACACCCATGAAAGGTAGTTTGTTAGAAAAATAGGCAGTCTTCAAAATTACATATAAGATCAGCCTATTTAATGTATATTTCTTTGTTGAAGCAGCTAGAATTCACTCCTTAGAGTGGTAGCACTTTAGATGTTTTCGGGGCTCGAGTTGGCAAGAGGTACTGGTGTGGTTAAACCCAGTTTGTAAGGGTAGAAGAGAAAAGTTTCCTGGACCACAATAAATTAACTCCTCTCCCTGCAGTTAGGTGGACAGGTCACTGTCTCTTTAGTCATACATTGATTGAGACTTGGATTTGTAGAATACATTAAGGTTTTCAGTGGACATTTGCTTGTTTTTTTTTCTTTTTTTTTTTTTTTAAGATTTTTTATTTACTCATGAGAGACACAGAAAGAGGCAGAGAAGCAGGCTCCATGCAGGGAGCCTGACGTGGGACTCGATCCTGGGTCTCCAGGATCATGTCCCGGGCCGAAGGTGGCACTAAACCACTGAGCTACCAGGGCTGCCCTTGTTTTCTGAAGCTTTTGCTCTTCACAGTAAAGTTAAACATGCCTTATCTTTAGAGAGTTTAAGAGATTTGCTAAAGTCACTGAGGTAATAAGTATTAGAGCCTTAACCTTCCTTAGCTATGCACAATCTCCACATCACTGTGACTAGGGACACTTACTGTAGGTATTTAGCATAGCACAACTTCAGCTGAGTTGCTGGTAGTGAACTATCTCAATACCAGATGCTTACTTGAGACCATTACCGACTCCTCATATGGCACATTGTAAACTAGACCATATTAAAAAATACATGGATGAACTAATTTCATTTTCACAAGCATGTACCATTCTCGGGCCAGTTTTACATATGAGGAAAGTGAGGGACAAGTTACCATAACTTGCCCAGGGTCTCACTGACACTAAGAGCTGGGATATAAACGATGTTCCTGCTTCCCCTGTGCTAAACCCTTTCACATGGAGCATATCATTAGATAGCAATTTTTTTTTCCTTTGAAAAACAATTTTTAAGATTTTATTTTTTTAAGATTTTATTTTATTTATTGAGAGAGAGGGAGGGAGGCAGAGGCACAGGCCGAGGGAGAAGCAGGCTCCATGCAGGGAGCGCGACCTGGGACTTGATCCCAGGTCTCCAGGATCACACCCTGGCTGAAGGTGGCACTAAACCGCTGAGCCACCCGGGCTGCCCCCTTTGAAAACGTTTTTAAAACATTTTGAGAGCACCCGTGAGTGCAAGTGGGGGCTTGGAGCAGAGGTGAGCTAAGAGGGACAGTTGTATTGTCCTGAGTGCATAACCTGACTTGGGCCATCCCACAACCCTGAGATCATGACCTGAGCCAGAAACCGAGAGTCAGACACTTAACTGAGGCCAACCGGGGGTCCCATTAAATAGCAACTTAAGATATGTTAGTCTTTTATTGATTTGGCTTAAGGGTTTTAAAATTTTTAATGTCACTTGCTTTGGAGATACGTAGTTTTTTTCCAAATCAAAAGACCAAAAACTGAGCAAGAGTGTAGGCAGAAGTTTTTTCTTTTCATCAGCCAGCAGGAGTCAAGAATCTTGCAGTGCATTTCTGAACACTGTCCTCCTACCTTCTCATTACCCGGTTTAGGAATGTCAGATAGCTTTCAACATTCAGGAAAGATTGAATCTGTTATATTTCAGTAATAAAAGTTTCTCACAGCAATGGCTTCTTTGCTTGTGTTTTACGTTTCCCTGTGGGGCGGGGCTTGCTCTGCTTGTGGCAATTAATCAGCTGTTGGAATCTTGAAAATTGCTGATCTTGGTGCCCCAAAGGGAAGGTAAAAGCTCTTGCCCAGAAATGTCATATTGTCCATGCACAGCTCATTGATCAGAACCCTGACCCTGAGAATTCAGGAGACGAAGGAAGTAAGAGAGCCCTACTGAGCATTGTTTTGCAAATAGAATGAATAACTGCCACAGTTTGATTCCTTTTAATTCCCATTTTAATAATGGTAAAATGAAAATATTCAATTTCTTGCAGGAAGAAAGAAGCAGAAGCTTGCTAAGGAGAGAGCTGGACTTTGCAAGGTAATCTGTTTTTTTTTTTTATATATATTGTATTATATATTTTATAGAAAGAATAATTTTACAAATTACATCAAATGTATTTCGACAAAGCTAATTGATACCAGACACTGATTTTTCTATTTTAAGGTATAGTTTGTTGTTTTTCGGAATAGTTAACTCAGTTCAACTGCAGATTGTTTGGTCTATCATTATTTCCCCCTTGTTGGCCCAAACAGCAAGACAACTTACTACAAGAGCGTTACTTTAGGGGAAATAAGATGATAGTCTCTAGAAGACAGTTCAAACTTTCTCACTCAGCTGATTCAAAGTAATACAGTAAACATTTATTAATTTAATTTTCCTGGCAGCCCTGGTGGCTCAGCGGTTTAGTGCCGCCTTCAGCCCAGGGTGTGATCCTGGAGGCCTGGGATCGAGTCCCACGTTGGGCTCCCTGCATGGAGCCTGCTTCTCCCTCTGCCCGTGTCTCTGCCTCTATGTCTCTCTCTCTCTCATGAATAAATAAAATCTTTAAAAATAATAATAATAATGATTTAATTTTCCTCCCTTCAGCTTCCTTTAAAAGAACCACATACTATTTGTTTCAAAAGTTACACCAGATTATTCATACTGCTGATCCAGAATCCTACCACATGGCAAATTTAACCTTGATGTAATATGTACATGCAGATAAAAATCCTTTTTTGGGGATACCTGGGTGGCTCAGCAGTTGGGTGTCTGCCTTTGGCTCAGGGCATGATCCCAGGGTCCCGAGATCGAGCCCCATATTGGGCTCCCCGCATGGAGCCCACTTCTCCCTCTGCTTGTGTCTCATGAATAAATAAAAAAATCTTTTAAAAATCTTTTTTTTTTCTTTTCATAGATCCTGTGTTCATAATTATTTTTTTTAAAGATTTTATTTATTCATTCATTCATTCATTCATTCATTCATGAGAGACGGAGAGAGAGGCAGACACACAGGCAGAAGGAGAAGCAGGCTCCACACAGGGAGCCTGACGTGGGACTCGATCCAGGTCTCCAGGATCACACCCTGGGCTGCAGGCGGCATTAAACCGCTGCACCACCCGGGCTGCCCCATAATTATTTTTAATGACTACATAGGTTTCTCTGCTTGATTAAAAAAATGTTTTTATTTTTCATTAAAATCCGTTCCATTGGCTGGATTCCCAGGACTTGGACTACAGGATCAGTGATGATTCTTTTTAAAGATAAAGAAAGTTGAGGCAAAGAAAAATTAAATCAGAAAATGTTATATTTTGTTATTTTGAAATAATCAAGAAATCAACACAGCTAAGTAACTGGACACGATAATAGTGAAGTGAAACTGAGAAGCAACCACTTTGTCCCATTATGTCCAACTACCTTTCTGAACTATGTAGTATGTTCTTAATGTTTCATTAGCCTTTTCTTTCTAAGGACAACCTAAGGTAGATAAGGACATATACTTCAGTATGTATTACAGGCATAATCAAAACCTATGCTGAGATAGTTGATGAAAGATGCCTCTACTTTGAGAAATTTAAGTTTTTTCATCTGTATTGGTAGTGAGAGTATATATTAGTCAGAAACCAAAAACTTCCACTAATAGAAGTCTAGGTTTTTTAATAAAATAGGACTTTTTAATAGGTAGGTTTATGTTTTTTTAGTGATAAGTCATAAAGCTGATTACCATAGCTGGTAATATGTAACAAACTACAAAACAGGGACACAGGAATGGGAACTTATTTACATAAAGCTGCTTTGTAGTAGCTGCTTTTTGTAGCAGTTTTTTTTTTTTTTATTTATGATAGTCCCAGAGAGAGAGAGAGACAGGCTCCATGCACCAGGAGCCCGACGTGGGATTCGATCCCGGGTCTCCAGGATCGCGCCCTGGGCCAAAGGCAGGCGCTAAACCGCTGCGCCACCCAGGGATCCCAACCGCTGCGCCACCCAGGGATCCCTGTAGCAGTTTGTAATAGCAAAGAAATGAGAATTAGCTCAAATGTACAACAACTAGATCATAATTAAGCAGTCCTATATTCCTTCAATGGAATATTCTATTACCATTTAAAATAATCCTGTAGATACATTTAAAATCTATTCAGAATAATGCTGGATGGCAGCCCCAGTGGCTCAGCGATTTAGCGCTGCCTTCAGCCCAGGGCATGATCCTGGAGACCCAGGATGGAGTCCCATGTCAGGCTCCCTGCATGGAGCCTGCTTCTCCCTTTGCTTGTGTGTCTCTGCCTCTCTCTCTGTCTCTCTCTGTGTCTCTCATGAATGAATAAATAAAATCTTTAAAAAATAAATAAAAATAATGTTGGATCAGAAAAACAGTTGACTCTAGTTATATAAAAATCTAATAATGACAATCACATTAATGTAAATATGCATATTTTATGATAGAGATCATAGTACTCCATTTTTTACTTCAGGTTTGATGCACAGCTTTCTGAGAACTGTTCTAGTATCAGTTTGATCATTAAGTATTTTTTTCTTGTATTCATTTAAATGTAGATTCTAAATTAATGCTTGTAAGTATTAAAGAGTAAATTTCTTTTTATCGTTTTTTATGAGTTACTCAGTTTTTTGTTGTTTTGTTTTTAGTGTCATGATTTTCTGTGTATTGATTATATCCCCAGCATGATTTTGATATTATTTATTATTCTATTTCCAAACAGTTACCTGACCTTAAAGATGCTGAAGCGGTTCAGAAATTCTTCCTTGAAGAAATACAGCTTGGTGAAGAGTTGTTAGCCCAAGGTAATATTCATTAAAACTAAGAAATTAGAATTTTTCACACTAATATAAATTTATAGTGATAATGGGATTTTTTTTTTTTTTTGGTGTAGTGGAGTTTTTATTTTTATTTCTTAAATATTTTATTTATTTATTCATGAGAGAGACAGAGAGAAAGGCAGAGGGAGAAGCAGGCTCCCTGTAGGGAGCCCACTATGGGACTCGATCCCTGGACCCGGGGTCATGCCCTGAGCCAAAGGCAGACGCTCAACTGCTGAGCCACCCAAGTGTCCCATGTAGCAGCTTTTTAAAAAGGTTTTCTAAATATTTCAAGACGAGTCATTTAGTAATGGGAGGATTATTTTATTTAAGGCTGGTTCTAGGGGTTCCTGGGTGGCTCTACCAGTTAAGTGCCTCACTCTTGATTTCAGCTCAGGTCGTGATCTTGGGATTCTGAGATTAGCCCCATGTGGTCTCTGCTTGGGATTCTCCCTGTCCCCTGCCCTGGCTCATGCGGTCTCTCACGCTCGCGTGCTCTCTCTCTCTCTCTCTCATTCTCTCACTCTCTCTCAAAAAAATAAAAAGACTGGCTCTAGAAAAATACTTCTCATGGATCATCATTGTCCATAATGTTTTGAGTGAGTTTGAAGTTTATTTGCTATATGATACAGAGACTATGAGTAATCTTTACAAATGAGGGTTGTGGTTTTTTTTCTTTTTAAGCAGTTCAGAGAATATAGTCGTAATGTAATATGTAGATAGTAACTGAAAGAATGTGATCTAGGAATATGCTTCCTCAACTTCTTCATGTAATCTTCAGGTCTTTTCCAATATTTATTTATTGGAAAGAGTGGCTAATGTAAATCCCAGAGAAGGTTAATTTACCTGTCAGGGCCATACAGTGAGTTTATGGTGCTTGATTTCAGTCAGTGATATGAATCTGATCTAGAGTTTAAGCTTTGTGCTTTATGTATTCAATTAAGGACTAAGGATTATTTCTTTAAAACATTACTATTATGAAGTTAAAATAAACTGGCCAATTGGAGAACTAGAATCGGTAGAGTCTTAAATGTATTTGTAAATTTTTAGTGTCAAATTAGCTTTTATTTATTTATTTTTAAAAGATTTATTTATTGAGATAGACTTTCTGCCTGGGGATAGGGAGGAGGGGCAGAGATAGACTCTTAAGCAGGCTCCATGCCCCAGTGCAGAGCTGTTTGGCTCCATTCTTTAAGGATTCTTTAAGATCATCACCTGAGCTGAAATCAAGTCTGATGCTTAACCAACTGTGCTACCCAGGTGCCCTCAAATTAGCTTTTATTAGAAAAATAGCTTCGAAGTATTTGCTGTCATTGATAAAAATGGTTTTTCTTATGCTCATTGCTGTATCATAGACTTGGTATCATGAATGTCATTTGTGATTTTTGTTTTGTTTTTATGGAAAGAATTAAAGGTTTGGAGTGGTGGTGACATGTTATTTTTTGTTTTGTCTTCCCCTTCCCAGTAATTTCTATGCGTTGTTTTTTTTTTTCTTTAGGAAATAATTATCTTTATTTGGGTGGCATAGTAGGCTGATAATATTTACAAATAAAAATGGAAAAGTCTTACTAGAAAGTAATTTTGGCTTTTTTACCTCATTACAATAAGAAAAACATGAGATTTAATCATAGGGTAATAGTAAAGCATTTAAATCCTCATGGAGCTCATTTTATAGACTGTATTACTATCCTTCTCAATCTGAAGCTAACAGCTTTAGTCAACAGATGGCCGCAATGCACAGTAACTCATGGTGGCTGGGAGGAAGGACAGGGAAGAGTTACTCTTTTTCCTAAGCTCATATTCTACACTTTAACTCAACACCATCCAGAGGGTTACTTAACTCTACCAAGTTGCCTTTCTTCTGATGGAAACTACCAACCAAACCGGAGGTTGAAGAATCAGGTTGGTTAGTATTAGGGGAGAAAGTCAACATCTAAGTAAACCATAAACCATGTAAAGGTGTAAGTTATTTAGGCAGTGAACTTCATTGCTTGGCATGGCCTCCACCATCTAGGGGTCTTCCATAAGCATATTCTGTTAACTGAACCAGATCTCATCTCAGGATTGATGTGAATGGGCTCAAGTCTACAATGTAGAGAGGAAATTGTATTGAGTTGCTATGGTGGTTCATTGACTATTTCCAGTATATTTAGAAATAAATAATAGGAGGTGTCTTGGGATTCTGTGTGTTTTACATATAACAATCCAGCAGCTGCCCTGATTTCATTTAATAATCAGAATTAATATCCCCAGATAACAGTGTTGCAGGCCCAAATATTGCCTGTAAATTCATTGGCTTGAGAATTCAGTGGCATCTTAATTTCTAAGTCAGTGGAGCCATTGTGTCCTCTCATGGAAGTCCAAGCCCATGCAAAAGACCTAATTCTTTTGTATTTTCCATTTTTAATGCTTTGTAGAGTTTTGCTTTCTTCAGTTTGAATATCTCAGTCTTTAGATTTTCCCAAATGAATTTTTTTTTTAAGATTTTTTATTTATTTATGAAAGACACAGAGGAGAGAGAGAGGCAGAGACACACACAGGCAGAGAGAGAAGCAGGCTCCATGCAGGGAGTCTGATGGTGGGACTTGATCCCGGGACTCTGGGATCATGCCCTAGGCAAAGACAGACACTCAACCACTGAGCTACCCAGGCGTCCCATCAAGTGAAATGTTATAGCAAGGCAATTCTTCTTCTTCACATGCCATCCTCAGTTCCTTTATTAGGTCACATTCTTATTCAGGGTTGGAAAACTGTGTTTACTGGTTTATTATAAAGGATATGACTCAGGAGCAGCCAGATAGAAGAGATGCATACGATGAGGTGTGTGAGGATGGGTGGGCAGGACATGAGAATCTTCTACTGTCTCTGGATGCACCACCCTCTTAATACCTTGATGTGCTCACCAATCCAGAAAATAATCTTTTTTAAAAAAGTAATATGTCCATTGTAGGATAAGTTTTAAAAGTCCTATCACTCAGGTAACCTCTTTTTGCCACCAGCTTCTTGCCACTTCCATTAGTGTGACTGTTTTTCCTACTAGCATTACTTAAAAGTTTTTTTCTTTCTTGTATTTGCATGTAGTAACATTTAAAATAGTATAAGGATTAGTCTAAAGTGAATTTGGGCCTCCTTTCCTCCTCAGTTCCCAATCTTTGGGTTCTTCTCAGAAAAGTTGGGTTCTGGGGCAGCCCAAGTGGCTCAGCAGTTTAGTGCTGCCTTCAGCCCAGGGTGTGATCCTGGAGACCCGGGTTCTGGTCCTATATCAGGCTCTCTGCATGGAGCCTGCTTCTCCCTCTGCCTGTGTCTCTGCCTCTCTCTGTGTGTGTCTCATGAATAAATAAATAAAATCTTAAAAAAGAAAAAAAAAAAGAAGGAGAAGGGTTCTGTAGTTAGCAATTTCTGTCTAATACACTGTTTCAGAAATATTGTAAGTCTATAAGTAGGAATATAATTGGACATTTTTGCACTTTAATTTCTCCCCTTTTTAAATGTGTTTTGAAGATACTTTCAATACTTGTGATCTGATCTATTCTTAGTAATGGTTTAATAATATCCAGTTATATATACGTATTATAGATTATTTCCAAGGTTTTACTTGTGTGATATTTTTGGTCAGTATCACTTAGAGATATAATGAAGGCTTTAGAGTTGAATTTTTGACAAAGGCAAAGGCCTTCCAGGTCACATGTTATTTTTACATAAATCTTTCAGGCGAATATGAGAAGGGTGTAGACCATCTAACAAATGCAATTGCTGTGTGTGGACAGCCACAGCAGTTGCTGCAAGTGTTACAGCAAACTCTTCCACCACCAGTGTTCCAGATGCTTCTGACCAAGCTTCCAACAATTAGTCAGGTAAGGATTTGAAATGTTAATAAAAGTGGGTAGAACCTGAGAATTAAATATTTTAGGGACATTGATATTGAAAAATTAGTGTACATGTTGAAATTATGAAACTTATCTTGGAATCAAAGTAGAATTAGAGATAGCAGTGCTTGAAACTTTTCTTCCCCTAATATTGACGTGATTGGGCATAAGATCTAGTTGTTGTGCCCCTATGTATGGATCAGGAAATAAGTCTCATAGTACTAAATCTCAGGCCTTGGTATTTCAAATTAGTCCACTGTCAGCTACTGAACCTAGGTTTCTATCAGCTTTTGGGAGCCCGTGCGTTCAGTTAAGTGGCCAGGCGCAGAGGGCAGAGGAGCCAAGATGGCCTACCCTGAGATTATATCCTAAAGGATTGTGGATATCCTCTGACCTCACTTGTCTAAAGGCCCCAGTGCCTCTGCTTCTGCCAAGGTGGACTTTGAGCTTGGAGCTATTTGATTATATCTGTGTAAGACTATATCTAACTTAAGAATTGATTAAAATGCATTCTGTTCATTTTTTAATCTTTTCCAGGGAACCAAAATGAATCTGTTTTTTGGAATAGTTTATTCGTGTATTAATTTCCATAGTTGGTGTGATTAAAAATTGGTTGATTCTTCAAACTGATGTATACTCAGCTATATTTTGGAAAGGGACTATTTTCTTCTGAAAATAAAGGCCCCAAAGATTTAAAGGAAAGAGTTGGAAAATCAAAGATTTGATCTTAATCCTTTTTATTTGTACTAATGTTGATTCCTAGTCTATCTAAATCAGAATTCTCAAATAAATAAATAAATAAATAAACAAATAAATAAATAAATAAATAAATAAATCTGAATTCTCGGTTTAGTATTATCTGCTCTTGCAAAGGCAGCATAGCATAGTGCTTTTGGAAGATGGATCTGAGAGTGAGCTCTTTTGAAATGGCCTCCTTTACTCCATTAACTCATGTTATCTGGAAATATTTTCAAATGCTAATTTTGGAATTACTGTATTCCTTCTTACATGATGACTGAGCATTTTCAGGGCAAAAAGGGAAATGTTGGGAGCATAGAATGACAAGTTAAGCACTAATCAGTATTCTCAGTTTATATGAGAATGAAAAGAGATCTTAAATTCTTTTTGGTTTTAGTTACATAATTGATTAATATGTAAAAGAGTATAATGTTAACCCTCCTTGGATTTTGAAATGGGACCGACAGCAGTATGGTCATTATTTTCTTTGATAACAGTGTCTAACAGTGTTAAATGTTGAAATCTTAGAGTGGGTAAACTTTAGCAAGGTTTGATTCTTTGAATACAAAGGACATTTTTTTTTTCCTTAAAATTTTTTTTTTTTTTTTTTGAAATTGACGTATTGTTGACACATAATATTACATTAGTTTCAGGTGTTGACAAGTCTGTACATTATGGTCTCACTAGGTGTGGCTACCATCTGTCTCACCATACAATGGTATTACATGATAGAGTATATATTCCCTGTGCTGTACTTTTTATATCCCTGTGATTTATTCCTTACATAACTGGAATAAGTTATTCCTGGACCTCTCACTCCCCTTCACTTGTTTTGCCCATCCCCGTAACCCACTTACCTTGTGGCAATCACCAATTTGTATTTATGAGTCTCTTTCTCCTTTTTTTTCTTCATGGTTTTTAGATGCCACATAAAAGTGAAATCAGATGTTGCTTATCTTTATCTTAATGAAATAACACTTAGCACAATGTCCTCTATGTCCATCCATGTTGCAGGTAGCAAGATCTCATTCTTTTTTACAGCTGCATAATAGTCCTTTGTATATGTATACCACTTCTTTATCCATTTATCCATTGATGGACACATAGTGTTGCTTCCCTATCTTGGCTATTGTAAATAATGCTGCAATGACGTAGAGGTGCATACATCTTTTCAAATTAGTATTTTCATTTTCTTTAGGTAAATAACCAGTAGTGGAATTACTGCACCATATGGTATTCCTATTTTTAATTTTTTGAGGAACCTTTATACTGTTTTCCACAGTGGCTTTACCAGTTTACAGTCCAGGCAATGCATGAGTTCCTTTTTTTTCAGTCCTTGTCAACACTTGTTACTTGTTATCTTTCTGGTTCTGGGCATTCTGAGAGGTGTGAAGTGATATCTCATTGTGGTTTTGATTTGCATTTCCCTGATGATTAATGGTGTTGAATATCTTTGCATATGTCTGTTGGGGAAATGTGTATTCAGGTCTTCTGCCTGTTTTAAATTGAATTATTAGGTTTTTTCCTCCATGTTAGTTGTAGTTCTTTATATATTTTGGCTATTAACCCCCTTATTAGATACATAATTTACAAATACCCTTCAGTAGGTTGCCTTTTCATTTTGTTGGTTTACTTTGCCATGTAAAAGCTTTTTATTTTGTGTGGTCCCAGTGGTTTATTTTTGCTTTTGTTTTCTTTGCCTGAGGGGACATACCCAGAAGAAGGTTGTTAAGGCCTTTGTCCAAGAGATTATTGCCAGTGTTTTCTTTTAGAAGTTTTATGGTGTCAGGTCTCACATTTAGATCTTTAATCCATTTTGAGTTTATTTTTGTGCATGCTGTAAGGAAGTGGTCCCATTTCATTCTTTTGCATGTAAGCTGTACGGTTTTCCCAACACCATTTATTGAAGACACTCTTTTCCCATTGGATATTCTTGTCTCTTACAAAGGACTTTTAAAAATTAATTTTTGGAGGGGATGCCTGGGATGGCTCAGCAGTTGAGAATCTGCCTTTAGCTGAGGGCATGATCCCATGATAGGGTATTGGAGTCCCACATCAGGCTCCCTGCGAGGGGCTTGCTTCTCTGTGTTTCTAATGAATAAATTTAAAAAAATGTTTTTTAAATAAAATAAAAAATTTTTCTTTTCTCTTTCAGAGAATTGTAAGTGCTCAGAGCTTGGCTGAAGATGATGTGGAATGAGAAAATGTCAACATAATCTCAATTAAAAATATTTTTAAAATCTTAAGTCAGAAGATGAGCAGCTCTGGGGGAGTAAGGGCAAATAGGCTTGTTATGGACTGTCCTATGCTGAAATCTACCAAAGTTAATTTTTACTTTGTGTAGATCCATTCATCTGTTTTATTTATTTTTCCCAGTGAAAAGTGTATTTTGATAGAAAGCGTTTTCATTTTATAAATACACTATGAGTTACCAAAATATCATGATTTATTTTATTCTTAAAACGTGCAATTAAAAAGTGTACATATAACATCACTACTTATATTAAAAATACTCAGTGCTTAGTTTTGAAAGATAGGCAAAAAAGTATAAGAGAAAGCTGAAGAATGCACGTTTTTTTAAGCTAATACACTTTGCTCTACATAAAACAATTGGATGGAAACTTATTTTGTTTATCAAAACTGAGCATTAAAATTCTTGAGAGATTATTTCTTTCCAATTAATCTCTTAAATATGTGAGATTTGCTGCTGTGCTGTATTAATTCCTCCCTCCCTGTGTATTTGTCTTGAAATGTTTTGTTTAAATTGGTGGGCTTAATGTGTTCTGGATATTTATCTCTTTGTATTTAGATGTATGTAGTTGCAATTAGCACCGGGAATTAGATCTATGTACATCCTTAATCTAGCCATGTGAGCTTCACCAGTTACTGTCTGCCCTCTTTCCTCAAACAGTAAGGAAATTGGTCTGCTAATTCAGAGAAGTGTCCCTTTTAGCTTTTAATTCATTTGGTTTTATTCAGCATCTTCAAATCCACCTTCGCCTGAGGTATATATTTGTTTGGACAACCAGGCCTTGCATTTTTTTTACTCTGAAGTTTGCATGCTTGCCTGACCTAGTATATCTAAACCCACTTGCCCTTTTTAAAAAAGATCTAACTTATGTTGCTTTTCACTGAAATTTTATGGTTCTGTCGCTACTCTTGTAAATCTGAAACTTAACCTGTAGGGTAACTGGGATGCTAAGCTTGTAAAATGTTCTCCTTTGCTTTTATCTTCAGTGTATCTCCTTAATCCTCTTTCAGTCTTATTCATTTATCTTGTTATGATGAGAATAAGGTGTAATCTTGTGACTGAACACTTGCAAAGAAGGGAGATGTTCTCAAAATAGTGACATGTCATCTGTAGTCACAGATTGAACATCAGGTCTGAGAATAAAGATCTTGGTACTTACTGTCATCTGTTGAACTGAGTAACAATTCCTCCCTGTACACATTGCCTTTATTCTGTCTAGAAATCTGGAGAGATCCCGAAGACTTATGTACTTGTATATTTTACTTAATTTACTTACAAGTTGTCCTTAACCTTAACCTTGGGTTTATGTTGTAGTTGGGATATAGAGGAAAGAGTTTGGAGCATGGTTTTAAGTTTTTGCTTCTGGACAACCCCACAGCCTTTGGCAGTCACATACATCTCTGAACTTACCCCTAGTATTCTCATCTATCAAATTAGAACATCAGACTACGTAACTCAGACACTTAAGACTTCCTTGTGTACCTTCCAGGTTCGTGATCCCTCATCCTTAAGCAGCATGCTGCTTTTTTTTTTTTTTTTTTTTTTTTTTTTTTTTTTTAATGACACCCTGTGTGCTCTTCGGTGGGGATAGGGAGATGACCAGTGCAAAAATGCTGGTTAGCCAGTTTTACTAATAGATCGCAAATCCAAAGCAGTGTAGTGGTGATTGGTCGGTCACAGAGCTAGGAAACAGTCTTTTGTCCTATACCCACCACCACCACCACACCTATCCAGAGGGAGTATTCAGACCAAAGGCATTCAGAATATAGGTCAGAGTTATAGGGGGTGGGGTGGGGGAGTAAGGGACAGACAGCTCAGAAAGAAGGAATGGGCCCAGAAAAGGACTGGCTGGAGGTTATGAGCAGTCAGCTTAGCCTCGGAGGAGGGTATGAAGGCTAAATGCCCTTGAGAATTGTGTGATCTGAGCTAGCTGGGTACCACTTGGCTTTCTGAAAAATAACTTTGATCTAATACTTGTTGAAAAGATTGTGATATCTTTCCAGTATAGTTGGTTATGCATTTTCTTATTTAAATGATAGCTTTTGTGCTTTAAAATTAGGTGCCACTTTGAAAGGTAGTTGTGTTTGTTTTGGTTTGGTTTGGTCTGGTTTGAAATTTTAAAAAAAGCCTAGGGACGCCTGGTGGCTCAGTGGTTCAGTGTCTGCCTTCAGCTCAGGGCGTGATGCTGGGGTCCCAGGATCAAGTCCCATATTGGGCTCCCTGCATGGAGCCTGCTTCTCCCTCTGCCTATGTCTCTGCCTCTCTCTCTCTCTCTCTCTCTCTCTCTCTCTGTGTGTGTGTGTGTCTCATGAATAAATAAATAAAATCTTTAAATAAAAATAAAAGCCTAACCATGGTTTTTCCCCAGACGTTTAATTGCTGAATACAGTTTCTTGCCTAAAGTTCTCCATGGTGACGGAAACAGGAAGTAGGGGTGATGCGGGCCAAATGGTGCTGAAGCCAAGATTTAAGAGCGTGATGACAGCCTGAATGTGCCCATGCACTGATGTTGCACACTTTATAGAGTCTTTGGAATTCGAAATCCATATCAGTGCACCGTGGTGTCCTTCCTTGGGAAGGGTTCTATTGTTTGATTCCACAGTTTGTACTTGAGGTGAAAGTGCACTTAGAATGGACTGGCAGTGTCCGTGCTGTCCTGTCAACAGATAGCCACAATCTACATTCACACTGAATTTATGTAAAGTACATAGAACTTGACCCAGCAAATGTTGGGAGTCATCTTACCCCTTAGAAAGTTTGGCAAGGGCAGCCCCGGTGGCGCAGCGGTTTGGCACCGCCTGCAGCCTGGGGTATGATCCTGGAGACCTGGGATCGAGTCCCACGTCGGGCTCCCTGTATGGAGCCTGCTTCTCCCTCTGCCTGTGTTTCTGCCTCTCTCTCTGTCTATGAATAAATAAAATCTTAAAAAAAAAAGTTTGGCAACTTTCCACTTGCTGTTCTGACCTTGTTGAACTAACTTAGAGACCACAATATTAATGAGATATAGAAAAGATTTTGAGAAAATTGGAATAATGCAGATGTTACACAAAATTTTCTTTCTTGTGATGTAAAAAAATGCAGTTTTACTATTGCTTGTGCCTCAACTGTAAATATTAAAGGGCCTGGAGAGTGGGATGCCTGGCTCATGGTGTAATCCTGGAGTCATAGTATCAAATTTCTGCATCGGGCTCCCTATAGGGAGCCCGCTTCTCCCTCTGCCTGTATTTCTCATGAATAAATAAAATCTTTAAGAAAAAAAAAGGGCTTGGAGAAAATTTTTTTCAGTGTATATTTGCAGAAATGAATTCTCAGTTTGACTCAAAGTAGTGTACCTGTTTCTAGGCTAATATCCCTTGGAGAATGTTGACATTGTGCAGCTTCTCCCAGGAAAATGCACGTTTGCTTTTGACTTCAGGAGATTCACAGATCCCAGGTTAAGCACCTGTGCTTTCAGGTCAGGAGGTGAGGGTTCTGTGTAATAGTGGGTTCCCAACTTGAGCAGATGCCTGGAAGCAGTGTTAAAGCACATTGCTGGGCAGTAGGTCTGGGCCAGGAGCATATTGCCAGTACTCCTTTTTGAAAGATTGATTTGGTTTTGGAGAGAGTATGAGCAGGAGGAGGGGCAGAGGCAGATAATTTAAGCAGACTCAATGCCCAGTATGGGGCTCTGTCTCAACCCCAAGATCATGACCTGAGTTGGAATCAAGAGAGGGATATGTACCCAACTGGAGCACTTTTTTTTTTTAAGATTTTGCTTATTCATGAGAGAGACAGAGGCAGTGACATAAGCAGAGGAAGCAGGCTCCCTGTAGAGCAGGGAGCCTGATGTAGGACTCGATCCCAGGATCTTGGGATCACGCCCTGAGCCAAAGGCAGATAGATGTTCAACCACTGAGCCACTTGGGCGTCCCTACTTTAAGTGAACTACGTCCTGTGTTCAAGGGCTTGAACTCCAACCTTGAGATGAAGAGTCATGTATGTGCTCCACTGACTGAGCCAGCCAGGTGCCCGTGTTAGCATGTGTAGCAAATTTGGGTGGTACTGCTGGTCTGCGGTCATGCTGTGAAGGTGACCTAGTGACATTCGATGATGGTGTAGAAAACATAAATAGGAAATTACAGGATGGCAGCCATATTAATGTCACAGATGATACTTTAGCACTCTGCTCTAAAAATGAGATGTATAATTAAAAAGCCAGCTAACTCGTGGTAGAATGTGATTAAGAACATCCAGCACTCATTCGATAATGATCTGAAGCATAAAGACCATCAATTGTCAGACTCTGTATTCAAGATAGGACATTTAAATGTGTTTTAGGATTTTTTTCTGTAAATAGCCCATCAGCTAGACACATCAGTTAAGCAGAAATTAATTCCCTAAGCATGTGGATTTTAAATTTTTTTACTCCATATTTGTGTCTTTGGGCAAATCAAACAGATTTTTCTCCTTTTTTAGATAACAGGGTCTCCAGGACACTTTATATATGTAATTTTCCCCCCTTCACTTCTAAGGGCTTAGAGCTGTGTTCTGGAAACAGGAAGCATTGCAGAGGTCCTAAGTTCTTAATTTCTATTGGTATTGAAAGAGGAATCATATACTTGCGATCATACTAGAGCTAGGGGTGGGGAGTGGGCTGTAGAGGGAGAAGAGACGGTTAAGCTGGAGTTTGTCCTGAAAAAGATGTGCCTGGTATTAAGCAGTGCCTCCATGTGGAATGTGCCAGCATGTGATCTGCACATTCAGGGAAGAACAACTGAATCCCAGTCCCACTGGAACTTCACTGAGATCTTCAAATCCATGTAGCCCTGTCTTTCCCTTTGTGGATAGACTGAACCAAACTGGCTTTTTTAGTTTGTACCTTGGTAGAGTGGGTAAGTTTGAAGCTCTCAACCAGAATCTATCTCAGTTTACCCAGAGTAGCATGAGAGAGTCCCCGGACAGGTTAAACAGGTTCATTCAGTGACCTCTGGGCAGTGTTCACATCGTGCACGCAGTTGCTCACCCTATTCAGCATTTGAAGAGGACAACTTTATGGTCTTAGAGACAATTGACGAGCCGATTGTGTCAATATACCATGTTTATAGAGAGCCCTGTGCTAGTTTTCAGAGGCTTCCTCTGCCATTAGGACTCCAGGAGCAAGTATAGAAACCCAACTCTAATTAGCATAAGAAGTGGTATTTGTTAGTTCCTCAGGAAAAGCAGATCTAGCTAGCCTCTTGTGTTGGATTGAGCACCCCAAACCAGGACAGCTCCCTCCCGTTCTGCATCTCCCTGTGCTGCTTTGACGTTAACACGTCAAAGATGACAAACACTTCCTGGGCTCAAAAATGTATTCACTCAGACTCCTTATAGCTTCCTACAATAGCAATTCCCCTTTTACAGCTTAAGAAACCTGCTCCAGGTTGCACAGGAAATGGAAGATTCAGGATTTTTTCTCTTTATTGAAGTATGATTTATAACTTAAAATTTTGTACACTTAAGGTGTACAATATGATATTCCACAGATATCCACAGTGTCTGTGGACATGATATGAGTACCACCATCAGGCTAACATCTCTCACCTCCCATAATTACCTCTTCAGGCAGGTGATGTGAGAATACTTAAGACTGGGCAGATTGCAAGTGTACAATACTGTGGTCCTCGTTGCTGTACATTAGATCTCCAGAACTCACCCGTAACTGAGAATTTCTACCCGTAGTTCAACATCTCCCCAGTTCCTCTACCTACCCCCTTATCCCTGGCAACCACCACTCTGCTCTTTCCAGGAGTTTGAGTCCACCTATAAATGAGATCTTGCAGTATTTGTCTTTTCATTCCCGGCTTATTTCACTTACCATAATATCCTCCAGGTCTATCCATGTCCAAAACGGCAGCATTTCCTCTTTTTTTTTTTTTTTTATTTGTGATAGTCACAGAGAGAGAGAGAGAGAGAGAGGCAGAGACATAGGCAGAGGGAGAAGCAGGCTCCATGCACCGGGAGCCCGACGTGGGATTCGATCCTGGGTCTCCAGGATTGCGCCCTGGGCCAAAGGCAGGCGCTAAACCGCTGCGCCACCCCGGGATCCCCATTTCCTTTTTTTTTTTTAAGGCTGAATATCCCATACACACACACACTCACACATATCTGTCACACTTTATTTATCCTTTTATCCACTGATAAAC